TCCATGCAGCTGTTTAACACAGAAATAAGAATTTGTGTCTTTCTCTATCACTCTTGTTTCTCAGGTTTTAATACTGGATTAACTGCATGATGCTTTCTTGGGAGTTTTATGGTGTATTTTTGTTTCTTTTGAGAGTGTGTTGTTTTGTGTAAGAGTTTTTTTGGGGGAGGGGTTGTTTCTTTTTTGTTTTGTTTTAAACAAGTTGCGATGTCATTAAAGCAAGAAATAAGCAAATGCAATTTCATATTGAATTATATTTTTCTTTTTGAAATTCTGAATATTTTTATGTCTTATCTTTTACGTCTTTTAAAACAGATTTACAAACTGCAATAAAGACTTTACTTAAAAAAGGGCCAGGATTGGAGGATGCCAAACAATCACAATTCATTGCTTTCAGAAGGTAATGGAGTGTGCAGGCAGACATTGAAAAAATCTTTGCTAGCAGCCACAATCTAAAAATAGCTGAGTGTGTTGAGTTGGAGAGACTAGTGGCAATAGCCTAAATCTAGATACTTGGAATACTTATCACCTAAGAAGGATAGGATGTAGGGCTCTAACTCACTTTGAAGAAAGAATGGAAGTCAGTAATCACAGGAGCATGAATAGTGTGCATGGCTTTGCAGAAAAACTGAAGGGATAAAAGGGATAATGTGCACTAGTACCACTAGTCCATAACCTTGAGTTCTGCACAAAAGGGTACTTAAGAAAAAACCCCTCCTCCTTTAATTGTGAAGAACATTTTCTCAGTAAGTGAAAAACACCCACTATTTACAGGGTCCCAGTGAGCTAATAAGTGATTTGTGAATGCTGAGTAACTCTGGTATCAATTTTTTGACTCCAGACTGCATTCAGGTACAAGACTGTTATTAGTGATTTTTCTGTATGATTCTTCTAGAATGTATTTATAGGTTCTTAAGCTGCATTTAAAAGTTAAAATTCCAGGTCTTTAAAAAGTAAATAAATCTTCTTGCTATTTTTAATATATCCACAGACAGAAAATAATCTGTCCAGGTTTTAGTTTTTCTTTAGTTTTCTTCTTGATCTTAAAACCAAATCTAGCTAATCTAGAGCTTTCTGTGGTATTTAGACAAAACTGTTCCTTTAATGCTCTGTCTTCAAAACTCTGAATAAGTAATTGTTCTTAATTGGTGGTGGAAGATCATCAGAGAGACAAAGGGCTTTTTCCATTATTTATAAATTAATGGCTTATGTGACAGTGACACTGCTTGTAATTGTATGTTTTGTATATAATGACTTTGTTCATGTTCTTGTTTTGTATGATTTAGGCAAGATTGTGATCTAATAAATGAACTTTGTTGCCAACACTATTCAAATCATTTAACCAGGTAAGCCAGTGTTTTTCATTTTTCCTGTGACCAATTTAATTTTGTTTTTAAAAGTGTTATAGCCAGGCCAATACCATAAAATAGGATTGTAAAACTTCCAATGTTCCATCTAGATCTGATTATGTTACAAATCATTCATATAATAAACTTTATTTGATGGGTTCTTTAATCTCATTTTAAATAGTGGTAAAAGGCTTTTCATTTAAATTCATGATGTGAATTCTGAGATTTTAAGTTACTACTGAATATTCAAAATTCATATAAAAGCAACATGAAAAAAACCCTCAAGGTTATTTTTTTTTTTGCTACTATATGATTTATAAATAGATTCTGAAATATTTTTGTGCTACTCTGTATTACTGGGTTATGTTATTGTTTTTTTTACCAATTTGTTTTACAAAAGTTCAAGTCATAAATGTGTTATCCTGACTATTTTGAATATTATTCAAGTTTTTAATCTGGGTCAAGTATAGAGAATGGAAAGAGAAAAAGTACTGAGAGATGTTAAATATACACTTCGTAAATACATTTTCCCCTTTTTCTTTCTCTCACCTAGAGACCATAAGAACAGACTTCTGTTTCAAACTGGGGACAAGATTGCCAGCACACGCAATGTTTATCTCAAGGATCTCTTGGCAACCTGTGATGTCAGAGAGGGTTCTAATGGCCAGGAATGCAGAAGTGGAGAAACCACACTCCCTGCAGAGTCCAATGAGGAGGGCAAACGACTCTGCAATGGAGATATATTTTTCATAACAAAGGTAAGTCCTGGCAGCAAGAACTTGTACAAAGAAAACCTGGTGGGAAATGATTCAGTGCTTGCTGAATCACCAGAAGAAAACAACTCACACTTTTAAATTTGGCCCATAATACTTACTTAGTTCTGCTAAACAGTTGTGTAAAAGGCATGGAAGAGGCAAGGTACAATAGAAAATTTTAAAAACCCCTCAATTCTGGACTTTTTTGTACAATGTGTTTCAGCTGATTGTGTTCGGTGTAAATACAGTCTGTAAATACTCAAATGTATTGTAATTGAAAATGTACTGTAATTGAAATAGATAATGTTTAAATTCACATGGTCTGAAGTAAAGAGTAATGTTACAGCTTAAGGTTTCCCTGGCAGAAAACCAAGCTGGCCTGAAAGTAACAGCAACAAAAAACTTTTTTTTTGCTGGGTTGAGTGAGTTGAGCAGTGAAAGTATCAGTAGTTAGGGTAGGCTCTGAACAGTGAGAACTGCTTTCCTTCAGGTGGTCCGTGAAAGACAGCGCTTTATTGGGCTTAGCATCTTCTGAAACTTTGAGCTGGCTGATGTTGCAGCTGTTGTAATTTCAGGGCAAGCCAGAATAGGGAAGTACAGACATTGCTCCTGCTGCTAATCCAGGGTCACTCCTGAGTGTTTTGCTTTTCCTTTAGGATGCAGAAATTGATAAGCAGCGCTTGCTGACCATCAGCACCACGTACGGCTCCACGTTCACTGTGAACTACACGGCACTGAGGAAGCTGTGTCACATAAAGCATGCCTGGGCCAGAACTATTCACACATTCCAGGTAAAACCACAGCAGCTGTGAGCTGAGCTATTGCATTCTTACTCTGTCATGGAAGAATCGGAAACTTTTCTTGAAACTAGAATTTCTTGAAAGCAGGATAGAAAATATTCTCGAGAGTGTCCCCAGTTGCCTCCAACTTCCTCACTCTTGTCTTTTTTTTAACTGTTTCCTGGAGAGGAGCCTTTGAACCAGAGCTCTCCCCCGTTTCAGGGCTCGGAGGAGAGGACCGTGGTGTATGTGGTTGGCAGTGCCGGCCGGCAGCACTGGCAGCACGTGTACACAGCTGTGACCAGGGGCCGCTGCCGCGTCTACGTCGTGGCTGAGGAGCCGCACCTCAGGAGAGCAGTAAAGAGCAAGGAGGTCACCAGGAAAACGCGTTTGCAGAGATTCTTGAGAGAGGCAATTGCAGAAACAAACAACTGTCCCAGACAAATGCCCTCTCCCCTGATGAAGTGCTGGAACAGTCAAGAGCTCAAGAATCAGTCTGTTTCTGCTACTCAAGGCGCTCCTGACCCACCTGAGCTTCAGAGTGACCTTATGACAGAGGAAGGGCCATCAGTTCTCAGTAGAGAGAAGATGGGCACTTTGAAGCAAAGTCCATGTAAAAGACAAATCCCTGCATCTGAGGATGCTACAGAAATACCCCCTGTAAGTATCTCCTTACTGAGAAAGTTCAAAACAAACTTTTGCACTCTCTTTCACCACTGCTAGTCACCAGGGCACTGTTACAATTGTTTTATTAGCATTTATTTAATAATTTTCAAGTTGACCAGTAAGAGGGGAAGCAGTCAAATTTGGCAGATGTCTTTGCAGAGTAATATATGGCTAATACAGGAAAAAAAAGGTTAATAGTAGTAAGCTTATACATATTTTTACTCTCAGAGTGATCTGTTGGCTAGCTTAGCCTGTATCAGCTTATGGTTTGTGCACAAATGTCAGATTTTAGGTGACATGCTGTGAGAGATGTATATGAAATTTAATAATTGAAATTGATTTTTTTAAAGTCAAACCTGATAACAGATGCTTTTTTTTTTATTACATCTAATTTCTGAGCTCATGTATAAAGAACCTGTTTTGAAGAAGCTACTATATTTTAGGTCTGTTTCAAACTTGGGTAACATTTTTGTTTTGTTTTGACAGACAACAGTAGAAGAATCCCCACTTGGATCTTCCAGACTTAAGAATCTGACACTGGGACAGCAAATTCCTAGGAAGCTTTTCAAAAGCTAACAGACAATTATTAATTGGTCTTGGTATGAACCTTTACTGAACCTGTTGAAGATTTTTGGGATGGAGACACTGAATATGCAGGTGCCTTTCAAAGGCTTTCTTGGTTTTGCATGTTCTGTGAAGAACAGCTTGTTTTATGCTGAGCCTCTTAAATTGTCAGTGATCCATTTTTAGTAGATTCACCGGTGTACTAGTCATCAAAAATCATGTAATTCTTTTGTTTTGCTGAAGAATGAACTTACAGGTCTTTGAGGTTCCAGATGTTCTCTTAAAAAATACACCAGGATGTATTTTGTTTTAAAGGTTCCTATTTGTCCATACCAAGATTTATCCATCTCCAAATGTTACAATAGTGATGAGTTGCACTTACTGATGTGCCAAAACTATAGATTCCTTGAGAAAAAAACCCAATTTTTGTAGGTTTTTATGATGTGGCAGATTTGTGGCCATGAAACTTTGATGGATTATGGATTTTAATCTTGTTACAGACATAACAAGAAAGTTGCATTCAGTGACATAGAAAACTTTTTCTATGATGTAGAACTTGCCATTGCTGCTTTAGCTAATGGTTCTGTGCTGATGATGATCTTGGTAAGAAAAGCAAAACTCAAAATCAGAGTTCAAATAACATTCCACTTCCAGTTTTCTCATGTGTACTTTGGGACTTGCTGTGTTGCAGTTTTGAGATTAATAAATTGAATGTTAAATCAAACATCAGACACATTGTACTAAAATGTGTACAACCTGCTTACCTTCAACAATTTTTCCTTTTCACATATGGTAGGAAAAAGTATACAACAAATATAAAAATGGTATTTTTTTCTAAAACTGTGGAAAAAAATGGGAAAAATATGAAGTAGAAAACCTCTACCTCATTTTTAATGTCTTCAAATCACTGTTTATTTCAATTTATACAGTTTTTCCATACAAATATTTGCAACAGTTTGAATTTCAAAAAACATAACATAGACGATAAATATCATGCTATTAAAGTATTAAATTTGTACAAAAATACTTTACAGTTTAATACTTATTTGTTACAAATAAAAATACATATTTATGTGACTCATGAACCTTGGAGTTTTTTGTTTTGTTGGTTTTTTTCTTTTTTACATGATTCAGCCTATAATGTCATTCTGACCTTTTCTGGCAGTGCTGAAATAGAAATCAGAAATACTTGTGTGTGTGCAGGGCAGGTGAGCTTGTTTATGTATTGGAAACAGCAACAGGGATACATTAAACAGTTTAAATTGACCAGAAACAACTCTGTAAGGTGATTGCTTAGATATGGAAACTCTACAAATATACAAATCCAGTATCTTTATATTCACCAATAACAATAATTACCAATAACAACTTGAATACCAGAATAAACCAATGCAGCTGCTGGTGGGCATATAAAGCAACTGGCAGTATTTTATTGCTTGGGGGAAGAGGGGAGAGGAGGCAATTTGTGTGATGTGTTTGTAAAACATATTTACAATTTTATATTCTAAAAATGTGTTGCAGGGGGTAATGTTTATCATAAAGAAGGCTGAAAACAAAGCATATTAAATAGGACCTTTCTTCCTTCAAGAAACTGATTGACTTAAAAAGCTCATGTGTGACAGTACAAGTTTACAGGTTTATGGATCATTAAAGAGCTTTTGTATCAATCTCCACTGACATAATTTTAAAAAAAGCCATTTTCTTTTAAAAAAACCTTTCTAATTTGTCTGAACTCATTTCAGTTTCATTCTTTTCCGTAATCCCTCGTCAGAAGTTTTATCCCACTAAAAAATCTCTGCTTAAAAATCCCCACAGGTTGCAAGACATACCATTAAATATTTCATTGCATAGGGAATAACATATGTTCTAACGAAGTTTGCTGAAGTGGGGAGCAATGTTCAATGCAAGCTGCAGCTTCCTGCAAGCATTTTGTTGTAACCCTGCTTTGTCTAATAAGTGCACCCTTCTCGCCAGCGAATAAAGGTTTCCAAAATCAGAGATGTAGCCATTTCCCAGGAAAACCCAGTGCAGTAAACCACTCTGCCTTGTCCATCAGACAGCAGCACCTTCCTCAGAAAAGGATTTCTGAAAACAGGGTAGCCTGGACACTACTGTTTGTTAGCAGAGGTTAACTCCATGGTTTTCCCTCAAACAGCTGCTGTTGCTGGAGGGAGAAGAACATTTAGATCATGTTTAAAACATCTCCCCAGTTTCTTATTTGGGGGAAAAAAAGGCCCTTATGTGTTTATTTTTTTTCCACTGTTACTAATCCTAGATTGCTTAGAATGGAAAATGACTTGACTTAATGAAGAATGAAACTATTTCTAAAGTAACAGTGAATTAATAGAAGCCTTGAGACAGACCAACCGACCTCCTGTGCTTTTCAGTGCTGTACAGCATCTGAGCCTCAGTCTCAGAGAAATCTTGAGTGGATTTAGCACCATAATTGTCTTTTGTTACCGAATGTCCTGCTCCAGTGGTTTCTGCTATAAGGTATTTGTAGGATCCCGTGTCTCCGTGCTAACACTGGTGTGTCCGCTCTGCTGCAGGAAGGCAGCATTCGGGTCGCTCCACTCCCCACTCCCTGAAGTGTGTTCTGAGCTTCCTTTCTGAGATGCCAGGGGGTTTCTGCTAATGACCAGTTCCAGCTTATTGCCAGATTCTGCGATGAGGGGCACAACCAAACAGCAGTCAAAGTCTCTGGTGCGAACGTGGTTTACCTGATTGATGAGATGATTGATTCTTGTTACCATTTTAGGAAAAAAAAATGAGATCACAAGAGAAACTAATTTATCCTTGAGACTATAGAGCTTGATTTAATTATTCCAAGTAGAGAATCACCCACTATAAGACTATTTAACTGTGATGTCTGGTCTGAAGACATCAATTAAGTTTTCTATTCACTTTTAAAGAGAATGTAGCAGACGTGGGGATATTTACACTGGTGCTGGCTGTTGCCAGCTTTCACAATGCTCACTCCAATAATGACATTTAACAGCACACAGTTTTTCTGTCTTTCATGGTGTTTGTCAATTTAAATGCAGTAGAACACATCTGTAATTTCAATTCAGTTCAAATCTCTGGTTTTACCTAATACATAAAAATTTATGTGAAGTATTTTATTAGGCTAATTGAGAAATAATATGGCTTTTCCATCATAGTCTTGGCACTGTGATAAGTGTGGTGCTGAGTAAGTATTACATTATTCCAGCTATGTCAGTCAACACTTGGTTTAAACACAGAAATAATTCTCAGGTCTGTACCAAGAAAAACAAGAAAGAAAAATCTGTCTGGAAATGCTGTGGGAAATTGCAGCTTCCCAGTGAGCATTTGTATGTCTCCTTTGGAGTTCTAAAACAAAATATTCTGAAAGAATTTGTTGCTATAAACCTGACTGCACAGGAAAATCCAGCTTTAGTGCCACTGCATAAAAGTCCAAAGCTCCACTAAGTGCTGCCTTTTCCTGCCAAGAAAAGAAATCTGAGAAATCTACACAGCACAGCCTGTGGTGCAGAGCAATTACGGTCATTTGTCCTTCATGGTTCCCCTACACATCCCTCCCCAGCAGAAATACAAACAAACAGTGGTGCTCATTATTTAAAATATAATAAGCAATGTAGATTACAGGACCGTTCCAAGTAACAAAACTGCAAAACACATACCCAAATACCCCCCAGTGTGGTTATAAACCTTTTTACAAAGTAATCTGTATGTCACATCCCTTCATGCTAAACCTGCACAGTGCCAGGAACATTACCTGTAACAGTCTGTCATATGGTTTTAAACCTCCCAGATCACCAGGGCCAGCTGGTCGAATGTTTTTAACATACACTCCTTTTTCCAATAAACCATCTGAGACACTGAACCCAAAGTCTTCTCCATCAGAGTCCTTGTACAAAGTTACCTGTGGAGGAGAGGTGATGTGATGAGAAAGAAAAAACCTTTGTCCCCATTTCCACAAGCATGAGGCAGGTTTTCTTCCTAGGATGGTTTTGGTATTTTTTTTTCACATTAGAGAGATCACTTACCTGCTATTTGGTACTTACAGTATTAAAGTTGTCTCCATTTTGACATTATGTTAATATTCTCAGAAGCCACCTTATTCTTCTGTAAATAAACAGCCCTTTTCACTTCTGCTTGCCAGCTGGAAATTTGTGGTATTTACAAAATACCACAAATTTCGGGTGTCACTTTTTGATTCTTAGTATTTTGTCTCTCTATACTCTAGCTGCCAGGATCTGAGTACAAGATATGGCTTAGTTTTGCTTCAGTATGAAGACCTGCCCTCAGTCAAACAATTGGTGTTGTGTCTTGCAATCAAGGGAATAAAGACTATTGTCAGTTTAAGCTCTAGACTGCTTGGTTTTGGCCAGGCAGTGGTCCACCCTGTAAAGCCTAACCTCAGAAGTGCTCAGTATAAGAGTTATAATGCAATCTTTTAAGGAAGTACAAATAAGGCTCCTTCTGGAAGAGCTTGCAGGCAGTGTTCTTACAGTTACATAACCATGAGGTGGTCATTAAAAAGCAGGAAATAGAGTTAGGAGAAGGTTTTTCAGGTATTCAGAAGATAAATCCTCACAGATAGTTTTGTGAATTCAGCTATTTGACAGATAAAGACTTCTTTGTAGGCAAGTGGCATGCTTAGGTTTTTATTTTTTCTTGGTCCTCCCTCACATCAGGGGTGCTGACCCACATAAGCAAATTGTGTGAGTGGTGTGCCACGGTGCACAGATACAATTGCACAGTCAAACCTGTGTTTTTAGCACTGTAGCATGTATCACCTTGGCTTCAAAATGCACTGGTTTTATCACACCGTGGCTGATAAAAATGACATTAACGGTTCCAAAATTTTATAATGGCTTGGTACAAATAATGCTCCATGTGTTGCATCTTTGTGTGTGCACCAGCCACTGAATTCCTTCCTGATGTTCCTGAATTGCAGAATCATTTGAATTGAAGGGGGCTCTGGAAAGTCTCTAGTCCAGTGTCCTGCTCAAAGCAGGCTGAGGACTTGGTCAGTATTTTGCAGAAGGATGCCAAGGCACAGCAGTGCTGGGGCACAGCACTGGTTGGTGCTGCCTTCAGAAAGCTGCTGAGCTCCTGTTTAAATTGCCAGTGTGAAAAGGGATGCCAGAACAGACCAGGCTGTCTCAAAACGAGAGTAAAGGATTTGGAATTTGGGTTTCTTTCCTGCTCTCTGCATTTTTCTTTTTTTGACTTGGGTTTAGGGGTGCATCAGCCCTGCTTTGGCTAGAATGAAATCACACTCCCTAGTAAGTTTGGTAGCTGTCCTGGGCAGCAGCTGAGAGAAGCTGGATACAAGGGCAGTGGCTGCAGCAGTAGCACCATTTTCTCTGTAGGTGTGGATGGTGCATTGTGGAGCTGCTGTGAAAACATCAGAGTCTTGTGCCGTGGGGAGCACAAACACCCCCACGTGGTGTTCGTCCCTTACTTTACCCCAGCTCATCCTCTTCCCTTGTTTTTCTCCCCCTGAACAGCACTGCAAAGCTACACCTAAAGTCCCCTTAAGCTAAAGGTTTTCTTCCTGCCAGTGACTTTTTTGGGTATGAGCTGTCATTTCATACTTCTCAGGGACTGTGGTGTTTAAGTTTTTTGCCTTCTTTTCCTCCATCCTCCTCCAAGATAACTTCTACCTGAACCCGCCATATGTCCTCCATCCCTTCATGAATTTTAGGAGTCACTGGGCATTTCAGCTACTGAAAAACCTATCTGCAAACTCACAATAATTAATCATAGAATGATTTTAATTTGTATCAACAGATGCTATTATCAGCAGGACTCTAGGGAAATTCTATAATTTGCTATGAACAGAGGCTTTTGTTTGTGTTATCACAGCATGTTTAACATGGCTTTAATGAAGAGTGTGTTTGAAGCTGCTACAGAGGTGCTGTAAGACCACCATTCTGAAGGCCTCAAAAAAAAAAATGCAAGGAGGTATATTTCACTGACAGATTTGTGTGCACTTCCTAGCAGAAATTAAAAATAAATAGCTCTGGACCAAGACCCAAATTCTCTTCTAGCAAAATAACTTTTTTTTCCTCATCATCACAAAGGACAGTTCTTCAAGTTAACTGCTTCTTAAAGAAGCCTTGAAAAGTTCACGTGAAAATGGGATACAATGCCTAAGAGAAGAAGACTTGAAGTACTCTGTCCCGTTCCAGCACAGGTGGCACATTTTTAAAAGGAACTTCCCTTTTCCACTTACTCCTTTTCTTTTGCCGTTCTTCAGGCACTGGAGTCAAATGGAGCTGGATCCAGCCCCAGATGAACTACAAAAGCAGATTGAACAGGGGACTCCCTGAAGCCATCCAGACTGTATTCTTGTCTAAGACAGGATCAACTGCACCTAAACCCTTTCAGAGATACATTTTATCTGCCCCACATTTTCAAATCTCCAGTGATCAAGATTCCACAGTCTATGAAAGTAATCCCTTCTAGTCCTTCAGATGTTTCCCTTGGGTCTAAACTAAATCACCCTTGCTGAGGCTTAAGCCTGTTGCTATCCACAGAGAACAAGATCACTTTATTCTCTCTTTCTCTGCAGTGATGTGAAATAAGGCTTGTTTTTCTCTGGACCCTGTCCATATGGTCAACATCTTTCTTTAAGTTTCAGATCCCAAACTGGACACTATTACAGTCAAGACCTTCTCAAAGCCAAACTGGAGTGGAGAACAGCTCACCAGGGATGGTGGTCCCATTCATATGTTCCATGACAGTGCTGCTTTTTTCCCTGTTTTCAGTGAGCAATCTATCAGCAAACAGCACACACACAAGTTTGACTCTAGACACGCACAGGAGGAGCCATTACACATTAATGCACCTTAACCTGGGTCTTTTCTGTAATAATGCACGTGCTACTTCATGCCCACCTTGTCAGACAAAAAATGGAGCATTTCAAAATTACAAAGGGCATGAAAGAGGGGTTTTGCTGTAGAGGGTCAGTGGGAAGTTACTGCAATGGAGTAGCAAGGCAGGGGACAAGGAGGGGCATTGGGAATGATCATCCTAAGTCTTTTATCAATCACAACTTACACATTTCAAAATATGTTCTAAAGTTTGTGGTTCTTCAGATCTACAGATCCTAGATTTTTATAAACTGCTTCCCTTATGGCTATCTTCTCTTGACTTTTGCTGTGCTTAACAGGAGCTTGGAACTTAAAGAAACTGGTGCTTGCTTCAGGGATGAGGTAGCAATTTAACTTTGTTGCATGTTTGACACATTTTTCAGATGGAAGTCATCTGCAGACAACTTTCTTTTGTATTAGAGGTTATAATTTTCGGGTTAATTCTTCCCAGGGTAACATATATTCTTCAAAGAGAATCTCTGATAAAAGCCTTGCTATCTGAAATACTCAATTTCTACTCAATAATAGGTATGGACAAAGCCCTACCACAGGTTCCTCATCTTGACTTGCAGCAACCCTCTCTGAAAGGAATGAAACTGCAGGCAATTCACACAACACCTAAATCATGCTGGTTTATCTGTACTGCTGATCACAACTCGTTGGAAGGTCTGATCTCAATAGCAAAATCTCCATTTGGGTGATTTGTTAGACTCTTAAATTTACATCAGGAGCCTAAGGGAAAAAGAAAGTGGATTTGGAAATTTAATTCATATTTCATAAGCAATTAAATAGCTACAAATTTTAAACACAAGCTTATATATTTTTAGTCTGTGCCTATGCCTCTTCTCCCTCTCAAGTCTATGGGAAAATGCTTAATTTAAATTCATACATCTTGCACAGATCAGCTATTGAGATATTTTAACTGACTGTAATTTTAGATTAATGACTACTTGCAATAATAATATTGAAAAATTATCTGGTCTTAGTGCATATTTTTGCTCTCAGAGGAAAGTGTGCTCTATGAAACTTCTAAAAAATGGTCTTCTATGATTTTTAGAAAAATATTAATCTATACTATTACCTAAGTAGATAAAATCATTAAAGACATTCATTAAATTTGGGTACTGATATAGCAATACACCATCCAGCTAAATTAAAAGTTATTAAACCATCTAGAACAAATGTTTGAAGAGATCTGTAGGACACTTATCTCAATCCTAGTTTCCTCAGGACGCAGACAGTTCAAGAGCCCAACTGGTGAACGCAATGCAGAAAGAAGGAGCAGTGAAGAATTCAGGTTACTTTGCTGCACAGTGAACTCTGGCCTGTGGGCACACAGGCCCTGTCCCAGCAGGGATGCAGACCCACCACAGTGACACAGGACAAAGGCACCTGCCCTGCCCTGCCCGTGAGCCTGGCAAAGCTCCGCAGCACAGAGCCGAGTACGTGCTTGAGAACCTGCCGAGGGAGGTCTCGACAAGCTGGGCCTCAGCTTGTATCCCAAAACTGCCCATACCATCACATATTTCTCAAGTCTTCCTATTTTTCAGTGGCCCAGCTAAGTAAGACATTTGCCTGCAGAGGGCAGAACACATTGCCAGCAAGAGGATACATAAAAAACACTTCAAGGCATTTCCCTGACGGTGAAGTCATTCCTGTGGCATTGCAGCTCTTTTGGAAAATTCTGATTGAACAAGCTGTCCAAAGGAAGAGGTTATTAGTGTTAAACTAGAGGTCCAATACAAAAATAAACATGAATACATGAGAGAAAGTAGCAGGCACACTGCTACACAAGAACCAGGAGGAAAACTAACAAGTAAGAACTTGTTCAGATAAAAAGCAGTCCATGCTGCCTGGGCTAACCTGCATGTGTCACAGGGGTATAACCTCACTTTGGGGAATCAGAGCATAAGAGCCAGTCACTAGTTTCTATTTTTCTTGAATGACTGTAAGGATTTGGAAAATCCTTGGTACAGGTTCAATGTTTAGATTTTTTAGAGAGGAAATGACTCTTCTCTGGGTGACAGAACAGACAGTAAAAGCAAACTCAGCATCACTTCAGCAGACAGGGGAAAACTGGGTATATTGTCTGAACAAAATCTGGAAATTACTCCAAGGGAAGGTCAAAGCAATCTTAAAAATAGGCAGCTGAAGCAAGAGAAAGCTCATTGACAGGTTATTTGTACTGCCCAGGCTCTAACAGCTAGTTACTATCACAGGATGCCACTGACTCATTAACAGAAATCTCAGGACTCCTTTCCAGGGAACGATTAATTTTAACATGGAAGGCTGGCTTTGTAATCCAGAACTGTGCCTTTGTTGAATGTGAGCACACTGTGAAATGCCTACTGGCATACTTTGGTTTTATATTTCACATTTATTCACCACTCAGAAAAAATGAGCACAGTACCTAACTCCACTGATCACTTCAAGCTGGAAATAGGAATAGCTTAAAACTATCACAACACATCCTTATTGGTCATATACACTGGCAATGATTTAATTTGCCATATATGAGATCAATTCTTTACTACCTTCTGTAAACATTTATTTAGCCCACACTCAGCAAGTCCTTACCTTGGTGAAGTCAACTGAACTACAGACTAAACTCAGACAAATCCACAGGATGAGAATGACCAGGTGACATATTAATGAAATTTCCCTGTGTTCTGCCTCCTCTCCAGAAAGATCTCAGACCTTTAAGAGGAAGGTGGGTGCAGGAAATGAGATGCTCATTTCCATCAGGAAGAACAGCATTATAATGTCCCTCAAAGTTTTGGAAACTGGTTGCTCTTACGGCCTCACTGGACTTTAGACCTAAAGTGGTCAGGTGCTTGCTGTGCATATCCAAACATAATTTATCCAGTACTTGCTAGGAGTGCAGTGCACCTCCATATCACTGAGTGATTTCAACCATCTTGAGCCGTGAAAATCTGTATAGTCTGAAGATTATTTATCCTTTTTAGAGCAAAGGAATTATAAAGAGAAAAGAAGCAATACCTAATTTGAAATAACATTCTATATTATGTATATTGAATCTCTTGTATTTGATTCAAAATGAGTGTTAATTTAAAAAAGGACCTATGGGAGCCCCAAACCCTCCTGAGTAATTTCCTGAAGAAATGTATTTTCTAGAAATTAAACTTTGCTTTCTTAATGAACACATTTTGCAGAGAAGAGTTATTGGTGCTGTCAATTCAAATTACCAGTGGATGCTCCTTTCAAAAGAGTAGTGCCTTTTGAGGATTTATTGTAAAATGAAATAGTAGACAAGGATGCATCTTATTCATTTGTTTTCCCCCACAAGGATCTATCATTAATGTGTTTGTAAGAACTAATATGCATGGCCCCCAAATTACATCTGTGGAGTCATTATAAAAAATGCTTACTGTGTTGCCATATAATTAGAGTTCCTGTGCTGAATATATTATTTCAAAGCTGTCAGAAGAAAAATTACAGACCTTGTGTAACTCCACAGGAGTTGGTGACATGATTTCTTTCATCTCTTGCTTAAATTTTCTCAGAACCATGGACTTTCTCCCCACATCTGATGGCAATGTGTTGCTACGAGTAGCTTGACTGTAATGTGGCCTTACAGAACTTCTTTCCTGGAAGCTGGCTTGTCTTCCCAGCTGGTTACGAGGTTGTGGGTTCTCATGATTCAAACTCATTGTACTTCCTGACATGATTGTGGCCTAGAGCATTAATGAACAGGTTAATTTGCAACAGAGAATGCGGGTTAAGTTTGTGGTTAATTCATAGCAGTAGGAAAAACACCTCTATTCTTTGTTAGAACACAATCACTCAGGGCACAGCAAAAGGCAAGAGGATAGATGTTCAATCTGCTTGCAAGTCACTATAAAATAAAGGACCACAACAAAACACAATAACAATATATGAACCCTATGGGCAAAAGTTTTCAGATGGCATTTCAAACTAAAATACTGAGCACCAGAACTGCTATGCTTGTAAGCCAGTCCCCTGGCAGACTGAAGAGTACGTAGCGTAATAACTTATTTAAAAAATATTTTACACATAAATAAAACAACATCTAAGTTGTGGCATAATTGCATTTGTTGGAATTGGAACTACAGGAAAGCATTTACAATTCAGACTGTGTGTGCAAGGTAAAAATGTGTGAGCCAGCAGAATATGTAGGTAGCTCTAGAGCCAGCATGGGCAGAGTGCCTGGCTACTACCCCAAGCTCAGGGAAAACTCAGTGCAGGTGAGCTCACTGCCTGGAAAGAAACCTTGCATGACATGCACACTGCAAGAGTGGCTGCCTTAGCTCAGCACTAATACTGGCCCTGGTCTCACTGCTGGTTTTAATCTCAGGAAAAGCCTTTTGTTTTAGGTGCAAGAATACACGAAATCATGAAATATGATGGAGTCACCTCGCCCACTGAGTGGAACAGACTGAACTTGAAAAGAATCCATGCTCAACAAGGAGCCTTCAACCTTGGGAAAGATTTTCTGCTCTGGGGAATGGGAGGCATATGCACTTTGGCACAGCCACTGTGGGAACAGGGTGTGCTGAATTTCCTATTTATTATCTTTTCTGATGGACAGCTGGAAAGGGAAATTTAAAGACCATAACCTGAACTCTGACTGGGACTGGATGCAGACGATCTGCTTGAATGGGAGATGTAAAAAATAAGGGCAAAACAAATAAATGTTTGCCTATAACTCTGGTGAGCATGTCTGTCACCCTTCCTTCTCACAGCTGCAGCACTACTTTCACTATAAGATAATGGATTGTAGCCATAACACTCTTTTGTGCTCAGTAATGACTGATATTACTGCCTGATGGAGCTAAAGCAGCCAGAGGACTTGGCAAACATCAGCCTTCTTTGCTCTTTGGTTGAAGACCTTGAAATGAAAAATGATAAGGAGTCCTTGACTATGCCATGGCACTTCATAAAGTAGAGACATGGCCACTCTCAGCATCCTGTCACACTGAATGAGTCTGGCTTTCTTTTCAGAGCTGGGGGTTGTGCAACGAGGCAATGCTATAAATGGGACGTCTACGGTTCTGAATTTCACTTTTGTGAAAGGCTGAGGAAAATTCAGTGTGTTGAAGTAACTGAATTCTGGTCAGCATAGATGACCTATTTCTCTTTTGGAATTATCTATTTCCATATCCTTTTATTATGCTCTGAATACTGGAAACTGCAAGAGAAGCCTGCAGTACTAAACCATATCTAACTATGGAATTAAACTAATATAACATTTTCTCCTACATTTCTCTGGTTTTCAATAACAAACATACGAGAATCACATTTTGCTACCCAAACATGCAATACAAAAGCCATAAATCTGAGGAAGTAAATTAATCTGAACTGAAAAACTTTCACCCAGTTATGCCATTCACATTCCTCCTGGCTGCTAAAGGACTTTATATAACACAAAAATGAAAATGAGATTCTGCCAGTTTTGCAGCTCCAGGAATTTAAAAGAACATAAAAGAAAATATTTTAGGACCTTTCATTCTGTAATTGGCAGTATAATGGTATAATGGTAATTGTTCTGATTAGATAACTTAGAGAAAAGGTGATTAGACAATTAAAGACTCCCAAGTTACTCTGTCTCTGTTTTCTTCCCCCAATGTCCTCAGCACAATCTAACACAAAGCACGGCCAGATTTGTAATAAACTTAAGGATGAAATATGAAGATTTGTTACACAGTGAAGAAATTGCTGCGTAATGAACATTTCTCATACTGGCAGCTTCTTTTTCTTTCAGAGTGATGTGATTATAGGTAAACATTTTGAGAAGCTGATTTTCTTTTATGTTCATCTTAATCAAATTAAGTTTCAATTTAAAAGACAACCTACAACATGCTAAGAAAAGCTGCATGAAGCGTCTGTCAGCGAGTGGAATGTATTGCTGCAGGAAGGTTATGCCCACTTAGAAGTTCTGTGCCATTTGCTGCCTGTACAGACAGCATCGATGGTTATGCACAGCAGAAGCTGCAAGTCAAAAGCACTGGGGTGAACATGTTTATAGAATTTTGGTTGCATTGCACAAAAGAAAACAGCTCTGGTTAGGGGCAGGGGAGGCAGCTGCACAAGCAAAAATATAAAGGTAAAGGGTAGGTACCAAGAGAGTCATGTTTCTCAAACACAGACGCCTGTCAGCCTTGTCCTGTAGAGAGGGGTTAAAGCTTTTAAATGAATTGGTGTGATTAGTGCAATGTAAAAGAAAAAAGGAGAAAATAAAATGAATGTAAACCAAACCAAAACCATTATATTTCTCTATAATTGGAAAGAAAGGTTAAGATTGTTCTACCTCTAGTTCCCTCAGAATTCCTGACTGGCCACAGGTCTCTAAATCCTCCAGAGCCTGAGACCAGAAATTTTCCTCCTGGTCAGCCTCGGTGTTATCATGGGTACCTGTGAAGCTAGATTTACAATGAGAAGTTAAAAAAATGTGGACTTTCCCCCCCCCTCTAAAAATATATATTACACACGTGCCTTGCCACAGACTGCAACTTGAATGACAGAACGTTATGCAGGAGAGTGGGGAAGAGTCGCTGACCAGGAGAGGCTGGATGGACATGCAGAGCACATGACAGACAAGCCTTCTCATAACCTGGCAGTCACTAGCAGCTGGCAGGACCTGAGCAGCGAGTTGTTCAGTAAGGAGATAAATGGATTCCAAGAACAATTCAATACACATTTTTGCTGGATTGAAACCAGGACTTCCCTTTGAAAATTAATGAATCAACCAGTAGCTGTGTGTGGAGCTGCTCCGTGCAACAAATATTTGCAATAAAACCTTTCAACCTCACAGACTTCTCCCAGGCAATATAGAAAGAGTCGTCTTTTTTTTTTTTTTTGCAAACAACATTTTGCAAAAGAGGCTTGGTGGTGCTTTTTACTTGATTCCTTCAACCTAAGATGCATTTATCAATTTAAGCCCACCTGATCGCCATAATATAAACTGCTCCAATCATTTCAAACATAAACACAGAGAAACTTTCAGGAATGCCACTGTCTTGCACGGAAACTTAGGTCTCTGGTGTTTCATAAATGCACCCAAAACCTTATTAAAAGCACCCTTGAGCAGATGTTGGTAACAGTGATGCTTAGGTAGTTGCTCAGCAAGTGAGGTCTGATAAAAACCACAACTCTGGGCTGTGCGACACAGCCCAAAGCAACACCTTCACAGTGTATGTGTGTATACAGGGAGGGAAGCAGGAGGGTCTTCTACCCTAGCAAGGGGAAGCAGCTCAGTAAAGGTTCACACAAGCATCAGAGCTGCTGCATGGGAGAGGGCTGATTATGTGAAAGGCACAGGGGAAGAAGGATGAGGAAGGAAAGTGACAATTTGCCCTTTTGGTGGCAGCAAGCTGTTACTTTGGAGCAGCTGCCCATGGACTGCAGCTAGTGGTGCTTAACAGCACATAAACAGAGCAAACACTATTATGGAAGCATCTGAGGCCTTGCTTGACAAACAATGTATTACTGAGAATAGCGTGAATGTAATTCTGTTTACAGAATAGCTTTTAAATACGAGAATTGCCCAGCACAAGGGAGGACAGCTTGAATGCTTCACACACATGATACTCTGCCTCAGAGATGCTTTCTTACAGCTACAATCAGTCAAGCAGACAATGGTCAGCCATTTCAATCTCTTATTGCAATGATTCTCCACCTAGCATCAGTGTCTCTTCTAAGATATTGCAATAGATACAGCAATGGCAAGAATACCTACTCAGATCACGGATGCAATTCCTCCCAGGCAAGACAAGAAAGTATTTAAAACATGATTTTAGAAAGATCCTTGACTTCTGAAATGAGCTTTTTCAATAATTCTATGTAGTTCTTTCAATAGCCAATTTTGAATACAGACTAATTTATCCATTACAATATCTCTTGTTATACTGCACATTAATGATATCAAATGGAACTTAAGCTAATGAACAGGATAATTTGAGGCAATTGTCTGTGGCAGAAAAACCTGGATTTCCTAGAACTGGAGGTCCATTTCTTCTCTGACTTCTGTGAAATAGAAAACCATGATCCTCTATGTCTGGACTTCTTAGTGGAAGCAATTTCTTTTTCAGCTCTCCTCTCCTCTTTTGCTCTTTCTCTGAGTCTTGTCTCCTGGTCTGTGAAATCTCAACTTTTGCATGTTCATTATAGCCACATGAGTAATTTTTAGCTCAGCTACTACACCAGAAAACCAGAAGAGATACCAAAATAATTTATCTAGATGTCTTTTTTATCTAAAACCTGAGGGATTGATTTTAATTCATATGAAAAATTGTTTGATCCATAATGAACATATTTGGTTTTCTGATGCTTAAAAAGTCTGAAGGAAAGGCAGTAGGACAGATAATGAAGATATGGGTATCTATGATTTGATTCTTACTCCCATATGAGACACAAAATCTTTGTGTTTTTTAGTTTTTTTAATCAGGAGGTTCTTGGATCTGGCAGACTCATTCCTGTAAGCATTGATGTTTTAATATGTTAAACATTTTCTCTGGAGCAGGAACTATAACAGACTTGTTCTACCTGCCAGTGATAGGTAGACACCAGGCTAGAGAGTGGTTTAAGTTCTCTGGTTTCATTTGCTTGCCCACTGAAATGTCTCTGTCAATCAACAGCAAGTTACTGTGGTGTTTTCTGCTTTTACCCTGTTTTTCTCATTTCAACTGATTTGCCTTTCTTCCCTTGTCTTCTCACACTCCCTGCCCCCCACCTCTGCCTCAGCCCAACTGGATCTCACTTTTGTGCACTTTTTGGTTTCCTACCTGGAAGTATTCCACTCTTCCAGCTGTCCCCCACCTTTCCTTTGCCCTCCAGAGGCACCTTTCCACATCTTTCCCTCTTTCTTCATGCTCCTGATGCTCTCTCCAGCTGATCTTTCCACAGATGTTTGCTTTAAATGGTTTTCTTGATTCTCTCCCAATGTCTCAGTCTCCTTCTGTTGCCACATATTCTTGGAAGCTGTGCTACACAAAAAAAAAGGCAAGAAAAAATTACTTTCTACAGCTAGAGAGGAAGAGAAGTTGTTTAGCTAGAACTACAAGAAAAGTGGTGCTTTTCTCAGGATTCCTGTAACAGGCTTGAAGGACAGACATAGCCTTCTCAAACACTCCAGCACTTGGGATAGCAACACCATCAGATGTGGCATCATCTATTTTACAGATACAGCATTAAAGTAATCATTATTTTAATTTGTACTGTATCTCTCAGGTGTAAGTCACATTGACAAGCAGAACAAGACTCTTTAATGTGCATACTTTCTGCTGAACAGTGCATTAAAATGGTAATAGAACACATGCTTTTCATTTAGAAGATTCTGTATTTTACAATCCAACTCCCTGATTCACTGCTCATCAACTTTTTCAGCCCATTACTTACATAGCTGCAAAACAGTAGGTGTTCTGGAATCCACGGCTGCATCTCATTTGAGAAACAAAATACGGGCTACAACTGTGGATAAAGACCCTATTAAACTAAAAATACTAGGCTACCAAGAATGGGCTACCAAGTATGAAGAAAGCTATCTAATTTCCTTTATTAAACACTGTCCACTACTAGCCTATGAAAACTGCCAGCATGCTTCTGCAGTAGGGACCAAAGGAGCTGGATGTGGACTGAGAATTCACACTTGCTCATATCTTAGCTGTCATCTCACCAGGCTTGTCTCCAGACAAAATGCCACAAAGCCATGGGCTGTATCAGAGGGTTTGTCATTCAAAATCTGAAAGCAGCATCTAATCTTTGCCTTGATTTGTATTTCAAAGCTTATAGACTGGACCCCATGGATTTCCTTACCCAGTATGTTTATACAGGCACCAGGAAGGTTTTTTTTAATAGTAGACTTGAATTTTTTGCAGACTGGGATTTCAGGCTCACTGTGCTGGCACAGTAAGAAAGTGTATTTCTCATGAAGGACATGCATGTCTGCAGGTCCTGAGGGTGGCTGCAAAGAGCACTGAAATCTCTTTTACTGTGATGCCTGTCTTCCCACGTCTGAGGAAGAAGTGTTCATTGGCAAAATTACCCAAGTCTCTGCAGTGGATCTACTAACAAATCCAAAAGAAAAGAAAACTTAGAACAGAAGACAGATTTTTGGGTCTTTCACTATCTCCAGGAAATGTGAAGCAAATTTTTTTTTTCTCAGGAAGTGCTTTTGTCTGCAGAGAAATTAACTGAAAATGAGATTTACTTCTCAGGAAAGGAGAAACAAATGTATGGCAAAATACCAATAGTTTGGAGAAGACATTTGTACCTGGATCCCTTTTTACTCCTACTGAATGTGAATGTCTCAAGCATTTATGGAAGGAGACTGTAATTTGTGCTTCTTTGCCCAAACCAAAATGAATTTTCATAGGAGACAAAAGATTAACACACCAGTTGTCTTCAGCCACATTATCTGTAGGTTTACTTTCGTGGAGTGGAAAACAGATAAGATCTTTTCTGAAACTTGCCCAGGGAAATGCCCTAATTTTTTTGTTTGTTTATTCTTAAGGGATAAATGCTGTGTTTTATAGGCTGAAGTAACTTGAAATAAATATAGGTCTTGGTGTTTATTGTAAATGCACAGCGAGCCCCGTGGCAGGGAAGAATGATGCATCTGACGCCATGTTGTCAGAAGGCTAATTTATTACTTTATTATACTATATTATATTAAACAATACTATACTATACTAAAGAATACAGAAAAGATACTTACTGAATGCTAAAAAATAATAATGAAAACTCGTGACTCTTTCCAGAGTCCCGACACAGCTTGGCCCCAATTGGCCAATGAGTCAAAACAACTCACACCGGAGTCCAATCAAGCAATCACCTTGGGTAAACAATCTCCAAATACATTCCACATGAGCATAACACAGGAGAAGCAAATGATATAAGAATTGTTTTTCTTTTCTCTGAGGCCTCTTGCTGCCTTTCCCAGGAGAAAAGCCCTGGGCGAAGGAATCATGTTCACAGAATGTTAATGCCACAGGTGTTGGCATCATAATCCTCCATAAAGACCACTAATCCACCCCAGCAAGCTTCATTAAATATAAGTGTCCCATATTTAATGGAAGAGCTGCTATAACTTCATTAGAAAAACATAATTTCATTCAAGACAGCTAGTGTTCATTTTTGAGGCACTGCTGCAGCTGCAGACCAGAGAACAGACACTCTTCTGGGAACTTACGTGCTTGCTGCAGGTCGATCCCATTCGTCGTCACTCAGCCCTGGATCATGGAACGGGTGGTTCCGTGGCTTGCCTGGAGGGGACAAACTGCCCTGCTTGGGACTCCTCCATTCATAGGCATTGAAGTTGTATCCTGAAGCCTGATAGGTGTGTCCTAAAAAGATGAATTATTATTTTGCAGAATGCATATGCTGAAATGACAGGAAAGCACACCTCTGAAGCTGGCTTCTCAAGAACTGTGGAAATGTCATTGTTACCATATCTTTTCATGTAGCCAGATTATTTGACCTAGATTATGTCTGGAATTAGGTATGCTCTAGAGTTTATCTTGTGAAAGTCCACTGAAAGCAAAATCTTAAATACATCTAACACTGTTCTCCTACTGTTTATGTCTCAGCTGCTTCTCTATTTAGTTCTAGATACTGCCACAATTTATCAATTTCCAATTTGACATCCTAGATTGAACAGTAGTGAATAAATCACGTGTTATGGATGTGTTAAATATGTGTTAACATGGTCATATGCAACATGCCCAAAAGTAAAGCTAACTTATTAATAAAACTGCTTCAGATGTATTGAAAAAAGTTTCCAAAGATGCATTAAAAAAATCCCATGAATGTGGCTTTTCATGTGCTCTTTTGCTAGGGCTCTAAGAGCCCAGAAAAGGCCTGTCTCACAACGGGCACACATTCCCAGGACTAATATACACCATCTCCATCACCCATTTCTAAGAGTCTCAATGCTGTGTAAGTGGCATCAGATGACTTTTATACCTGCAGAGTTTATTTCTTAGTGCTTTTATCATACTAGCAAAGCAGTACTTCAGTAGTACTTCTTTAACTGAAATCAGGTGTTAGTTGAATTCCAAGTAGGAAGCAGATTCCAAGTGATGTATCAAGAAGAACACATGGATCAATGGGTCACAAGCTGATGCTGATCTAGTAAGCAAAATCCATTATGGTAGAACTGATATACCTTATATATATATATGTATGTGTACATGTATGTATGTATATATACACACACACACATTTATATATATATATATATATATATAACATATACATGTAATATACTGCACCTTGATATATTACTTTTTTAGCCCTGTAGTTGGTGTTTTTTTTGATGTGCATATTGGATTAGGAAGTGTTATTTTGTTGGTGACTATCATCACTGCTGCCATTCCTCTAAAGAGGGTAATTTGCTTCCATGAATCAGTCTAGACCTGTCTCCCTCAAATGCTGTGTAACTACAGAGCTGTGAGCATTTTCCAGCAAACTGGCAGATATTAACACAGGAAAGGTATTGGTTGGGAAATGTGACTGCTGTGTGGTGAAGGCTCTGGATTACTAAAACAGAAACATAAGACAAAGGCACAAAATGGGGTATTAATTCAAGGAGAGAAAAGACAGCTCACCAACATTAAATTGGTAATTAATAGGATAAAGCATTATCTGGTGCTCCAGAAACATCCCCCCAAACTTCGTCTGTGCTTATTGCCAGGAAGGGTTTGGAGCAAAGCCAAACTCAGCTTGATGGGTCAAGACAGAATGAACTTTTATACAAATGGGGGCCACCACAACACCAAGGGATAAAGGCACAAATCTGTTTGCACTCAGGCTGTTTAGCAGAGGTGCCATGTATCCAGCCAAGTGTGAGCTGATTTTTTCAAGGGAGTTAAAAAAAAAATCTGCCTTGAGATACTGGTTCAGCTTTGACACAAAATCCAAATCATCAGGACTCTGGAAAGCATTCTGGGCTTCAATCCCTTCCACAGCTGAATAATTTGCTCCAAATACATTCAATTCATCCAGAAAATGAGAATTACCATCCTGGCATTTATTCAGCAATAGTTCTCCTTAGGACTATCAAAAATAGCAGAAGAAAATAAAATATAACTTATTGTGATAAACTGACCAACACAGTTAAGGAAAGGGGTCAAATTCATCCAAATTCCAACTCCAGTGGAAAAGTTATTTGAGGTAAGGATCAATCTGTCCAAGTACCTCCCAAGTAATGGGAATACATGCTTTTCTATAGAAAGAAACATTTTAAAAGAGTTAAATAAAACACTGAAGCTGCGTGTAAGTTACTTGTCTTGCTATCAAGAATATTACAAGATGTCTATATCCTTCACTGCCTAAATAAACATGTGTTACAAACTGAAATTATTTAAAAATCCTATCTAAAACAATAGTCAGAGAGAGGTGAAAAAATTATCGTTATAGAAAATCATGTCTTTAAATGGAATGATTGTTTTGACAGCTGAGAGTTAGGTGTTAATACTGCAGGAATGAGGAAGAAGCAAAAGATTTACAAATTATAGGCAATGACTAATGTTGCCCTTGAGCAGTTTATAATAAATCTGTTGTCATTTAAAAATTAATGCATATGGGCATCAAACTCATGAACATCTCCAGAGTGCTCTGTGCCTTGCATTGATCTGTACTTGAAGGATAAACTCATTTAGTTGTGGATGAGCTATGGACCAAGCTATTCAGATGTCAGTAAAGCTAACAAAAGCCTGTTAATGTATTGATAAATGCTTTGTAACACATCACATCCTCATGAAAGAATGAATCTGAGGCCAGCCAAGTACAAGAAATCATGCTGCCTGCCGAGATGTGTGGTCATAATGAGACAGCAGCGCATTATAAAGTACAGGGTTAAAAAGTACAGATAAAAAAGTTCTGCTTAGGGCAAAGGAAGGTCAACCATGAAGGCAGTAATTCCTGCTTTAAATGTCGATTGTGTTTTTGACAGTACCTTGATTTCCAAAGCTGGTATCAATACCAGAGCCATCCCATGACTCCACTGCGCTGTCGACACTTGGGACTGCAGTGGAATAGATGTCTGAGAGCTTGCCAGATTTCTGTGCAGCAGAGCTTTCATCTTCAGCATCGCTCAGCTCACTCACGTGACCCACAGGCACAGAAAATTTCTTGGGACTGGTAGCTGAATAGGATTATATAAAAAAGGTGTTGATCCTAGATTTATTACAGTTCTGAGAATCTGGTTTTTACTCCTGACACCAAGCTTTTCCATGGATGGGCTAAATGCTTATTAATCTGCAGTAACACATGCATTAAGGACCATGGATGGTACCCTTGGCCACACTCACCATCTGTTTGCTTCTTGATTTTCAAGGTGACAGTTTCTCCTGCCATCTGTAACAAATGAATGGCTTCACTCAAAGGTTTTCCTTTCAGACTGCTACTATTTATTGCTAGGATTCTGTCTCCTATGTGAATTGCCCCAGTCCTACAAAAAGAGAGAGAAATAAAACATTGAGAAGAGAGTGTAAAAGGCAACAAAGGCAATTTCTTTGCATTTTGGAGCATTAAAGTCTCATCTCCCTTTCTTTCTTTTATTTTGCTTTTATTGCTGTGTCACAGAGTAATTCTTTTGTTAGAAATGCTTAAAGCAAGTCACCTTTGTTGTAGTGACAATAGCAGAGCTGAGGCATGGTGTGGATTTCTGTGTCACTGTGACAGTTGAATTAATCACCTGTGGATGATACTCACTGCAGCCCACCTGCTCAAGAGACAGCTTACTAAGTCCTAAAATGAGTCAAGTTTCTAGAAGTCTCATAACATAAAAAAAGCAGTGCAAGCAAGCAACCAGCTATTTCACAAGCCTGGCCTTCAGGATTGGTCAATCAAGAAAAGAAAATAAATTATTTGTAAATGGTTCTGGCTGTGCACAGTATCATGTTTGTGTGCTGTACCTTCTCTCCAAAACCACCACCAAAACTGAAACCACCAAATTTCAACAACTCAACCAATCTGAGAAATAAAGGAATGACAGAAATCCTGATCATTTTCATTATTCTCTATCTATCACTTACCACGAGGAGCATTTCTGCTTCTCTGATAACGCTTCCTATGGTGTATGTAAGTGCACATGCAGGTGCAGTGGCAGATAAGTGTATGATGAGTTCAGATAAACCTGCACACATGAAGTGCTTTCTTTGCTTATTGTACTATATAATGCTGTTGGTTCTAAAAGGCTGCTACAATGTTCCTGAGACTCAAACAGCTCAGTTTGATTGATTAGGTTTTCCTTAGTGATCTATAATAAGAATCACAATCTTCTGCCTTGTATAGTATGTACATCCTACTCATGCTCCTGGAGCTTGGCAATGATCAAAAAACAACAGCAAAAAGATTATGAACTCAGATTTGGAGAATAACAAAAAAAATCCATTGCTAACCCATGAAAATCAGGGTTTTTAGGTGAACAAAATGAACCTCTATCTTGACAGAGAGAACATTAAAAATAATTTTCTTTACAACTTACCTTTCAGCTAATCCTCCTTTTGTAAGGCTGGAAATGATTATGGGATCAAAGGGCTCTTCAGTACCAGAGATTGTAATTCCAAGAGGCCCACCATAGCGCTTGAGCTCAACAGTATAAATAATTGCTCCAGAGCTCTCCTGTTCATCTGCAATAAATACCAAGGGGATGCAATTGGTTTCTTATGAAAGAAGGAATGAAAAAATAGCATATTCAATCTAGTAACAGGTAATCAAACAACATTATCAAAGGGTCACATTTCAGATACAATTCTTAATAATATTCTACTGGATTATTTTCTAAAAAAAAAAAAAAATTACCTATTATGCAATTTTTTATTGCCAAAATAAAAAATACTAATATTGATTTGTTTCTTGAACTGAATGGAAAGTATTTAAAATTAAAGGTAATTTGAAAGTTTTAAACCCAAACTTTCTTAAAAGAATTCTGGGAAAAGTCAAAAGTCATTGTAAGATGAGCAGCCATATTTGTAAAATAGTTCATGTTTTTGATGGACATATTTTGAGCTTTTTGTAACAGAACCAAAAATATCTTCTGTACACTGAATTATCAACGAAACTGAATAGTAAGTCCATTAGATATTATTTCATGATACCGCATGAAGTAATTTTCATTATTTTGAAGTTTTATGTCACCAAACAATTATCAGAACTGGAAAATAATCTATCACTGAGTAAACTTAAATACAATGTATTTCCTTAAACAACACTCAATAGGCATTGCACCAACAAGATATGTGCCTGTACTTATATAATGCTCTTTACATATTATTAAAAAAACCCCAACCACAGCAAGAGAGCAATCAACTGCAGCATATTTTCAGTTGTGAAGTAACATTTTAAAATTTAAAATGCCAGAATTCTCCTCAAATCAAAATAACAAATGCTTTCTAGCTCATGTTCTGACATTGGAATTCAGCCAGGACAACTGGTCTGGTGGGCAAAATTTCTCAGATCTGTGGGTAATGACATTTTAAGCAGTTCAGTGAATGTGGAAAATGCCTAGGATGCACATTCCATAAATGTTACTAAAACTAAAACAACTTAGAAAATTCAAAAGCTATACTTCCTGTTCCTGTAGATAGAAAAACTTAAAAAAGCCCCAAACCTACATCACTAGCAAAGGCTCAAAGAGTTGCTTCCTTCTAATACTGAATGTGTTACTTTAGGCAGAACTGAAGGAACACTAATATCTTTGAAGGTACTTTGTTTCTTCCCAACTTTCAGAAAATGGAGATCTTCAGCCCCCCACCTTCCCCTTCCACTCTTCTATTTCCTCCTTGGTATCCATGTACAGAAAATGCTACACACAGAGAATCAAAGAAGAGAAGAATTAGTGGTGCTCATTCAGAAAGAATACAGGGTTTTGGTGCCTGCTTGGGGCATTGCCATCAGTGTTTTGGTTCACATCAACTGCACTTTGTCTGACATGCTCTTTCCAGAAGCACGCAGCTCCCCAGAGGTCACTGCAAGCCCCTGTGTGGCACACAGGGGGCTAGCTGCCCCTGCACAGCAGAACAATGGAGCTTTGCTTGCTTAAAGCATTTATGGAACAATCACTAATCCCTTGGGGTCTAATGCTGGCGCTGCTCATCCAGATGTGGCACAGACATGGTACAGGACTTCAACTGGAAGGTGAAAAGTAACACGCCAAGCTAACTGAAGATTAATAGCCAGCACTTGCTAACAAGTGACACAACACTAACATTTCTCTGCTATAAACACAAAGTGAATAAAAAGTTACTAACAATCAGCAGCCCTTCCACATGAGAGCTGGAAGTCTATAGACCTCAGTGAATGACTGGAAAGCAGACTGGTCCATTATGTCTATTTTCTGGTTAGCTGTAGGTCAGAAAATTATTGGCAGGATGTTATGCTGAGCAGAATGTTGGAGCTATCCAAGAACAGGGCATACATGTGGTCTGAATTCACCAGGAAGGCCAGTTCTGCCATGTGAAAGCAAAGAATGGTGATATTCAGGAAAGGGATCTAGCCATTAGGTTAATCAGGATTTACAATTGTCCTCAATTTGGGAAGCTGGCAAGAAGAAAAGGAAAGAGAAAAATTGCTGGAAACATACCTCCACCTGGGGAGAAGATATAACTAAGTACTATGGTATGGGTCTCATGTTTTTGAGGTTTTCCATCTTTCTTTTCTTGTGATGCAATTCTCGTGGCTAATTCTTGGAAACCACATTTAAAGAAAGTAGATCCTCTGTGCTGCAGTGCCTCTGCTCTGCCCACTGGCCTCTTGCTCATCAGAATAACATCTGACCAATACAGTGACAAGGGCAAAGAGCAGCAGGGGCTGGGGAGCACCTGACATGCATCATCCTGCCGCGGCCTCAGCTGCACGCTGGCTTGGAGGAACACAGCTCGGAGACTCCCACTCCCTGCCTCACCCTCCTCAAAAAAGCATGCAGTGCAAAATAAAAAGAAGTTTAAATCTTAATCTTATTCTGTGTTTCACAAAACATTTTGGAGTGCTCCATGCCTACTCATCAATCAGCATTAGGCTTTTATTTTCTCAGGGAATTTATTATTTTCCTCTGTTGAGTCTGAGCGGCACATTTCTTCCTTTGTGAGGAAAAAAATCTTTGGTAAGTAAATTAATGGCAAACACACAAATAATTATTTTAACTGATATATACTTTTTATTACACCTTTGCTACTGTTATGCCACTAAATATTTTTTCTTTAACATTTGAGGAGACACTCATTTTAAATTTCAAAGTACCTGAAATCTGCTGTAAATACTTTCATTTATGCTTTGACACTTAGTCAACTCTTACAAGAACAATTTGTGTAAAGAATTTTTTTAATAGGTTTCTGAGCAGCTGTCCAGTTACACTTGAATCTGTTCAGTTACAGCAATCATGTCTGGATAAAACACTGTAGTTGTGTGAGAATCTTGATATAGATTTATATCAAACAATGTGAGTGTGTAAGAGAAAACTGTGGTATAAAAATCCCACTGAGACTAAAATCTGTTCCAGATACCATGGTGTGCAATACCTAAGAGTGCCAAGATCTTATTTTCCTTGAGTGGAGACCGAAATCCCCATTTCAATTACAGTAACAATTTGCACAAGGTACTAAATGCAGCTGCCTTTGCTTTTTACTGTAATACTGAGAAGATACTTGGTTTGCTTTCAAAATCAATTAGGAGGGGAAAAGAAAAAGGAAAAGAGTCTTCTAGTGCAACTCTAAACACCACTTCAACAGCTGCACTTAATTTCAAATAATAAAGTGTAGCAGGTTGTGCCTTTTTTCTGTGAGATTATAAAGAGCTGAAGAGAAATGAATCTCCAGTTTGTGCTTTTGTGTAACACTGTAATGTAAACACAAGCAGTAATAGTAGCTATAACTGTCTTACTTCCTTTGCACTACAATGCATAACAGAACTCACTTTATTACCTCCAGGTAGAAAGTCTGCTCTTACGGAATCCACAGTGGGGAAGACACAAGGTGACTATCAATAGGTGTAGGTATCAAAAATTATGGCAGGTCCATTATTCTCTTGGGCTGATCAGACATGGCTCCTCCATCAGATATCCAGCACACTGTGTAAAGTACTACTTACCTTTGAGCATGTTAAAAGTCAAATTTTTAAGTTTGACTTAAAAGCACACACTACACCACTTTGCTGGAGAACTGAAGCCTAGGGATCCATCCTTTACTAACCATTATGCCAATTTTAAAAGCAGAGAAAATCCCAATACTCCAGTAAGAAACAGATCATGTTGTTTATATGGCTGCACCTGAGGGCCAATTGTCCTTTCAGTGAACTGAAGACCTAATTTTACAGTGCAGCTCCTGCAAGCAATATAGTCAGTGAGAAAATTCAACACTTTATATACCATTAAAATTCTTTTTAGGTGACATTTTCTGATTATCATTAGCATAAACCAGACCATGTTCAGAAAAAAAAAATCACTAAAATTGAAAAGAAATCCCCTATGCTCTAGAAATCCTGAAAATGAATCTGCAATAGTCATTGCTGATACCGGAATTATCTTCGTCTTTGCGGATCTTTAACTTTACAAGGTCCTCACAGTGCTGAAGGATCTGGACAGCATCTTCCATTGAGCAGTTGTCAAGTCGAATATTATCTATTGCCAGCAACTTATCACCCAGTTCAAGTGTCCCAGTTCTGCACACAAGCAAACAAGCTTACATGAAACTCACGTAACATTAAAATAAAGGTATCTGGAAAGGTCTAAACATTATTATAGGAACAAGATGGATTTTTTGAACAATTATTTCTTAATATGCCTTCTAGTTTCTAACTTTTCACAAAAGTATTTATTTAAAAAAACCGCACAGTCTTTTACAAGCTTTCTCTGTTTAACTTGAATTTGGCTGGTTACACATATAAACAGATTTTTATTGGGAACTCTAATGTCTTACCTGTGAGCAACACTTCCTTTCTTGATATCAGAAATAACCAGAGGGTCCCCTGGTTTTCTACTTGATGGAGCTGTAATAAAGAATATATACAGACATTTGCTTTTGTTTCTAGACATGCACATGGACTAATTTTGACCATAAACCAATACTTCATACACATTCTTTATTTGCATTATATTCCTCTCCTACCCCTAAACTATCTGAACTTCAGGTGAAAACAAACACCAGCAGCACTGGACACTCCTCAAACATTAGAAAATCTCAGAATTGCAGTGACTGGTACAAAGTGAATTTAGCCTGGTATGTCTGAATTCAGGACTGAGGCATGTGAAGTCATCACAGTACAGCTCCAGTGATCTATCATAAAATTCTGCACAGCTGTAACACATAGGGAAGACTTTCTGCCGTAACAATCTTTCAGTGCAACTACTAATGATGATCTTTTCCCATATCCATGACCAACAGAGCTGCTCTGGCAAAATATCTAGAGTGAGCTAGTCCACATTGTTTCCATCTACTTCTGTCCCATCCAGTGATTAAGGCAGAGGTATGAAGGTAATGGGTTCTGGCTGAGAAGCAGGAATCCACTTCCCAATAAAGGAGATGCTGTGGACACACCCCACAGGGCTGACACACTATTACCATGTTTGCACAGGTGTAGCTTACAGCACACGGATGTTTGCTTCACTGTAACTTGCAGCTTCCTTGGAAGCAACCTGTGCCTCTTTCCATGAGTAACTCTGCCCCCCTGTGCCGCTGCTAGACCTTAACAACTGTGGACTTCTACCAACTTTGTACCTACTAGAAGCCCTGCAATTCCAGTTAGTTTACCAAAACTCCCACCAATCCTCTCCTCACACACTTATCTCTTTTTGGAAGAATCTGACATTAACAGTCACTTTTTCTATCTGTCCCTCATGGTTAAAAACATGCTCTGCTCTTCAATGCCAGGCACTGCAATTCTTTACCAAGTCATGCAAAATTATTTGACAAGTTTTCCTTGGCCAGGAAATTTGGTCTGCAATTTTGCTTGACTTTTAATTGCCTAGGAGGCAGTTAAATACACCAGAGGAAGACAACAGTGATCACTGTCTTCTTTCAGAGGACTGGTTCTTGAAGTGGCTCCACTAAATGCATTGTTTTGGAGGGTTCATCCATTTGCTGACACAAGACTGCACTGTAGATCTGATGTGGCAAGCAGTCAGCTTAGAATTTGAGGGTGAGGAAGAGACATTGTTAGATATCTCTGTGGCACATGCTGTCTACTTCTGGGAAGAGTATCACCTACAGCTGCTCTGTGGTGAACACAGAGACTTTTGGGACTGTTAACAAAGAGTGTGCTGATAATAAAACATTGCCATGTGGTAAAATGCTCTCAGCTCTCCTGAAAGCACTAATTAGTTTTACACATTAAGTGTTCTTCAACTGCCCCACACCATTCCTGCCCTGTGAACTCAGCCCTCTGCATCCTTTCACAGAAGGTACGTTTCCATCAGGCTCCCACGCCTGAACTGACAATCACCCAAAAAGCTGCCCTTATTGGAGGATCACCTACAAAATCCTGATCTCAGTTACTTTAGCAGCTCATGAATCTTCTCTCTGATGCAAAATGACAGATCTTCACCTCCAGCAACCACATGGTAAATTAATAATGACATTTCCAACAGAATATGCTAACAGGTCTTGTTAACCTTAGCTGCCCTGGCTGAGACAGCCTTTGAATGTCCAAAGGAATTGTTCAAGAACTGCCAAAGAGCCATATTTCAAATGCAATGTGAAAGCCCAGAAGACAGGCATACAAGGACTTTGAATAATTTTTAGAAATTTGTCTAAAACAGCATGCTTTCAGGAAATGATTATGTTGCAATTTAGAGAACAGTAATTAACTTTTTGCAAGATATGTTATTTTCGTAGCTTGTTTCTCATACTTTCATGTCATGGGTCAAATAAATTACAACACCATAATTTGCTTGAATCCTTTGGATTTGTTTTACTAATTAGTATCTTGTTAAAATTTTAGAGTATCACTTTGGTGATTTTTTAATTCTGTGGTTTTACTCTCTGGGTTGCCTTATTCTGAGGTTATAGGCTACCCACTGCAGACTAGGGTCTGAGTCTTGAAATACTTTTTATGCAAGTGTCTTTCAAAATTACCAGAACTTAAGAAAATAGTCCATTATTGTTGTAAAAAGAAGAGAGGAAGAACAACAATTAGGGAAAGAGCAGAGCTCAAAGAGCAGAGCCACAAAGTACATGTGGATGCAAAGATTATGATGCTGCACACAAAGTTACCACAGTTTCAAACTGAGGAAGTGTGAACCAGCAGTATTTAAAGAGTTCTCCTGGGCTATTATTTGGTCTGGAGAATGAAAGCCTTTTTGTAGGCACCAAACAGCTCTGTGTGAGATGAATCCCCCCATACTGAGAAGCAGATACACCACACTTCATTTTGTTATTGTTCAATGCTCATGGCATACTTCCTACAAATTATTCAAGTTGTGTTGCAGAGATAAAATCATGAATTTTCCCCGGAACATTTGTACCTTTTTGCACATTACTATAGGCTAAGATTGCCACCAAACACTGGTGAACAGATGCTGTCTCCAGCAAGAAGATTGAGTACTACCCTGATTTTACAGATAAGCAAAGGAAACAGGAAAATTTTGGTCAAAATATGACAGTTTTCAGTGAGCAATCTGAGATATCCATGCCTTTATATGTCACAATAGTTTGTAGAATATAACAGCTTCTATGTCTGAAATACAACTACTAGCATTTTCAGCAACAGCTGCAGATGAGTAGCATTTCTGAGTGCAACCCCATGATCTCAATATTTCTGCATAAAATCAAGCAGCCACCTGTGGAAAATCTCCACCCCCACTCCCAGAATGACTTGTCTCAGCACAAGTCTTTTGCAGAGAAAAGAAAAACCACCCTAATTTCTCCAGGGTATCATTAAACCACCTTGACCATGAGATTGCCTCCTTTATCTTTCTGCAATACTCCATCTCATTCATTATGCAGCCTCCATCCCCTTTGTTACACACCACTGTTTCATCTCTCCCCAGACAGCAGAGAAACCAGAGATCCAGTGGGAAAGCAGTATTTGACCAGTTAATATATCCACATCAATTAATGCAAGCTTGAAGTGACACTGTACAGCTTCCAGTCTCTACTTCAGAATTATTTCTGGTTTTAAGAGGCCGTTATAGATAAAGCACCTTACCACTCACCCATGTCCCGCCTTCTTGTTCAAGTCCCAGCTGCCCCTAATCCTGATCACAGTTCAGTCTCTCCCCTCATTTGCTATCTCTGTTACAGCTTTCCACTTCTTTCCTCTCCTTGTCCCGTTCTGCTTGTCCAGTGAAGATCTCATCTTTTCTCCTCCCTGTTCCAGCAGTTAGACTTGTTCAGCTTTTGCAGAGACCTTAGAGTCTGCATGAATAACTGTAAGTGGACTGAAGAGTGCATGAAGTTACTCTTCCATTCAGTACTCAGAAGTTACTCATTTCAGTACTACATTCAGTGTTGCAGCTAAACGGCTGCTCTTAAGCAAGTTGTCGTCTGTCTTTAAATTACTATTTGATCCTGGGTCTCCATCTCAGGCCTCCACCCTATTCTACTACACTTACCCAACCACTTGAAAGTAAGTTCAATGAAGTAATGTCAGTTCTGTGTATCAGCTGCTCCATTACATTAAAAAAACCCTCAAACAATGCTCCTTTCTTATTTCACTGCTAATTTAAACACCCCCCCCCCCCCCGCAGTGACTGCAACAGATTTTGGGGTGCACATCTCACCCACCACCCAGACAAATCTCACTACTTTCAGCATGGCTTCAAACTTTGGAGTTTTATCAAACTCTGAACAAATGGAACAAGCAAAGGAAAATGCTCATGTTATGGAAAAATACTTTTTATACAAAGTCAGTCTATTTATCCACAATGCTGGTTTACAGCTACTAGACATTTTAAGGAATAGCGTGATTAATAAATAGATGAAGGAGCTTTTTAAAATTACACTGATGCAGCTTTTTTGTTCCTTAAGTATTGATTCATGTGGAGCAGCTGAGAAATCTGTTGATATTTTTCTGTCTTGAAAATAATTATTTCTGATGAAATACAAAAGCAATAAAGCAGACTACAGTATAGTAGACTACAGCTAGTCAAAGTGACTCAGAGAAACTGGTGATAGTTTGGGTGAGATTCTGATATTCTTACCAGCTTTGCAGCTTCTTATTTCTTGAGTAATCCCATTTGCTTCAGAGAGATTATTTATGAAGCAAGGTGCTGCAGTTCATTACCAGTAAGGATATCAGAATCTTACATAAGACAGAAAAAAAGAAAAGGAAGCGGAAGAAAACCCAAAAAACTGTTAACTACAATTACCAGAATCCACTAGTAAGTCATTTTACTGGACATCATTCAATGTTCTTGACAAAAAAATAATTAGCCTATGATAAAGTAGCCAGTTGCCTCAAAAACCTTTAAGAAAGGTTTTTGTCTTTAAGAAGAAAATCTATATTCATTACATGGTTTAAAGTCAATGTCAATGTCAAATAAATTGAAACAGCTTTGAGTACCACTAGCACTACTTGTAAAATGTTCCTTCTTCTAGGGAATGATTCTGCTACAAAAGCATAATCACATGCACAGGAACATTCCCCTGTGCTTTATTTGGATGATATAATTTTAAGAACTGAGACCTTCTACTTGCTCTAATCAGATAACTGGGTGTGAAACTAGTGATATGTGAAGCATTAAATATAAAGTCACGTGTATTTGCAAAATATGAAAATATGAAATAAGGACTTTATTGAGTGTAAGTATTTGTCATTGGTAAAATTAGACAGATATTGCAGAGGTAAGGGACAGATGATAGGACTGCAATGTGTGTATGAAGGCAGCAGTAGGCAAGACCACTATACTGGGAGACAGAGAACTAACATGAACTATCCAAAACTCAGGGCCCTGGACTAACATTAACAACGATGCTCATGAAACTTTCTTCTCTCCAGCTTTTAAGGGGTTATGCTATCTAAGGGGATTTTTAAGGTTTTCTGTTATTTTTTTCTTGCATTAATAAATCTGAAACTAAAGAAAATCTCTTCTCCTATTACAAGCTTATTAGTGTTGTGTGTCACCTCTGATATGCCTTCAATAAAGCAACTGGTTGTAATTCTGTGCAAGCACTCTTGGTGCTTATTACCACAGAAAACAATTCCAAGAAAGAGAAATAAATTCCTCTTCTAGGATCTCTGACTCCTAACAGCTGACCTAGAAGAACTCTTGGACTTAAAAATAGACAAATGCTCACATGCCAGCCCAAAGTCAAGTTGCACTTCCTGTCTGACAAAAAATGTCTGTCTTGTCTGTCAGATTAGGTAATTTCCTGACTTTGTCACACAAATCCCAAACTAAATAGGGGATATGGAAAGTAAGAAAGGTGCTTCTCTGTAATGTTTTAATAGCACTTTCTCATTTACCATTAACTCCACTAAGTTGAGAAGGAAGAGGATGAAATAGGTCTCTAGCCCTTTTAAGAGATCAAGCTCACAATGAATCCGATCACCTCCATCTCCCCTGCTTAAGACATACCAACTCTGCCAAGTTTCCCTTAGTATTTGTTTCTTAAAAGAAATCATATACCTTTCTGAAAATATCAGTAATCAATGGCATGCTAATGTCCTAAAGTGTCCTGACAGAAATTTGACAAAATGAATATAAAATGCTTATATTCTTCAAATCAAACTGCCTTATCTAGCAGTTAATTAGGTAAAACAGAACAAAACACTGAAAAGCAAGCATGACATGCAGCAATTCGAGACTTCTATCAGTTATTAATATAAACCCTTTAAAACCATGTAAATAATTTATCCTAGATAAATTGTATATTAATTAAATGCTATTATCGAGATTATGATGTATAAGAGATAATTTAATTTAAATATTAAAGATACTGCAGTATATTCACAAGAGCAGAGAGCTAAGACCAACCACATGTTACTCTGATTATATAAAGCACTAATTTTATAAAGCACTTATTTTTTGGAATTAAATTCCAGATCAGTAAGGCATGCAAAGTTTGGAAGAGGAGTGCTGAAAACTAAATTTCAAGAAAATTAGCTTTCCATTAAAAGTTTATTCCTACAGACAAAAAGAAGTAGATGTCTGCATTCCAAAAACAACAGAAATCAAATTACTAGTAAGATCATATATTTAAATAACCTTACAAACCTTTAGCAATCTTAAGAATAACATGTAAATAGAACAGCCTCGCTCCAAGTTTTCTCATTTCTCAATATTTTCATGTGCACAGATACATGCACAACTATGATTTTGCTTCTATTATCACATCACATCTTACAGAGTCTAACAGTCACTCATTCAAGTGTGCAACACAAACAAACAGGCCTGCAGTGGCTCTCATTTTAATCCTCAGCACTGAGATCCCTGCTGTACTTTTGATTAACCATATTCCACTGTGCTGGTAAAAGCTTCAATAATAGAAGACAAAGCACAACCTTCCCACAAGACAGATGAAAAACTCCAAAGGAAGACTAATAGGCTAAGAAAGGCCACAGCCATAAAAGAATGTTAATTCTGATGACACCAGATTCTGCAGTGTCAAGCCCATTAACTTTGATATGGATTGTTTTTCCCTCTGTCAAGAGCTGAATTCAGTACGCCGGAGTTCACCTCGTCAAAATCCAGTTCTAACACATTGCTTTACTGTCTCCTCACAATGTAAGTATAGGAACACTTTTAATTTCAAACCACAGCAACAAATACTTTTTGAGAAACAGACTGATGCAGGCTCTTGTGACTTTCTTCAGCAATCTCCGCAATCCCCAGTGAAAGGGGATTTTGCTGTGACCCACACATTCAAGACTGCCCAAAAGTTATAGAGAATGAGGATGTATCTGGGTTCTGAAGCAGAAAATAACACCAGGTATGTGGATCCTCTTGTCTGTGAGACCCTTCAGTGGGGTTCTGTTCAGGAGCCTGTGAGGGACCATGACAGACTCTGCTATAAACTTCCTAGCTATGGAAATGCTTTTGCATGGACTTAATTCTGCTGATTTATTTATTTATTTATTTAATTAATAACTTTAATAGGAGTTAAATACATACTATGCATGTGAAGGAATAAGTCAAACATTAGATTTGGCAAACTTCTTGCTTTGTTAACTACTCAAAGGGGAGTATAAATATATTACAGAACAGTATTTCAAAATACTAAAATACTAGAAAAAGGAAAAAGAAGTTTATACCAAAAGAAATGTTAGTCTGCAGCTACAAGACCCACTATCTGCAGATTATCCCATAAACATGGTCTGAAAAATAAGCCCCTGTACTTACAACTTATAGTGATGCCAAGTTCCACATTATGCTTCTTTGGTAGTTTCACATGAAATGTTCCACTGCTTGGTATAACTGATTCTATAAAAAAAACATTAAAAATGTTAGATAATTTATAAGGCACAGCAATTCCACGAGCATGGAACTATGCATGTAAGTTGATGAAATCACATCAGAGTCCCAAGGCAGGGATGAAACATGGGTGCTAAAATGAAGGAGGTATGATTTATAACTCTACTGGTAATTTCACTGTTACTCAAATTTTTAAGGTTTAACTGAATTTGTGGAGATTGCATGGGCCAGCAGCCAGCTGAGACTGCAGGTTTTTAGCTCATATGCAAGTTCTGTGAGCACATGGGAAAATTTTACTGCTGGCAGACAGCTTTTAATTAAAAGGACAGGAGATTGGGTCGTAAGGATTTCTGACCTTTGTTGCTGCAGGACTAACACTTATTTTTAACTGCCCACTAAGGTACCTGCCATGGGTTTAACATCTAACAGGAAGAAAATGAATCCATGTGGTGCACACACACATATATATATCTATATAATATATGTGGTGCACACATATAATGTGTACTTGATATACACAGTTTGATTTCATGGGTATATTCTGCATGCTTAAACACATTACAGAATAAAGGAATGCCATTAATAATAATATTCACCAGAAAAATTCACAATTATACTTCTGGCCTTTATTAATTAATTTTCTATTATTTTATTTGGAGATACTGTAAGTGAAACACCTCAAGAGTTTTTTTGTTTATCCACCCTTTTAAATAATTTTCTGTCTTGCGAAACATTTAATTATTTGGCCTGTAGAGGATTTGTCTCTGTTTAGCACAACATTTCTACCTCAGGCCAGAAAAATGTCTGGAAATAACTCAGAGGAGAGACACTCACCAGATCTTAATACAGGACTTGTCATTTCTATTTGCTTTCAGAAGTAGACTGCAGGGCTGTGTGAAATGAGAAGGCTGTACAAGAAACCACGTTTCAAATAAGTCACTTGAAAACTGAATGGTGTAGATGTGAGAAGAAAACCTCTACCTCAGATGCCTAACACTTGCAATGTACTTGGGATTTATTCCTTCATTTTTCTTGCAAGACAGAATAACAGGACATTCATACCTGCAACATCAAATTCTATTTCCAAAGTGACCTTGTTGGTGATAGAAGAGTCTCTGAGCAGTTGATTGGCCTCATCAAATGTGCTGTCTTCTGTTGGGATACCATTTATTGACACTATTCTGTCTCCTATTTGCAGCACCCCACACCTTGGTACAAAACAATACAAAACAATCATCAGATGTTCATGTTACCAGAAGCAGCAGTATCACAGAATCACAGAATCATTTAGGTTGGGAAAATGCTTTAAGGTCACTGAGCCCTACCATTAACCCAGCACTGACAAGTTCCACCCTTTCTGTGTGGAATTGCCATATTTACATGTCTTTTAAATACCACCAGGAACAGAGTCTGAACTTCTTCCCTGGGCAGTCTGTTCCAGTCCTTGACAACCTTTTTCATTGAAGAAATGTTTCCTAATATTCAATCTAAACCTCCCCTAGCTAAAATTGAGGCCATTTCCTCTTGTCCTGTTGCGTGTTATCTGGGAGAAGAGAGCAATCCCCACCTGGCTACATCCTGTTTTCAGATAGTTGTGGGGAGCTATAAGGCTCCCCTCCCTTTCCTCCAGATGAAACACCCCCAGCTCCCTCAGCTGCTCCTTCTCAGAGCTGTTCTTCAGCCCCTTCACCAGCTCCACTGCCTTTCTCTGGACACATCCAGCACATCAATGTCCTTGATATAAAGAGGGGCCCAGAACTGAGCACAGCACTTGAGGTGTGGCTTCATCAGCGCCAAGCACAGGGACATGATCACTGCCCTGGTTTTTGGCTGGCCACGCAGTTTCTAATATGACCCACCTGATCAAACACCTTCAACCAGACCCTGAAGGATAACTGTGGCATAGCAGCTCGACAAGCTACCTAGGCACAGAGGCTGCAGCCCCTTTGTACCACGACACCATCAAGCACTCCCAGTATGGGTCATGCCCTCCAGGTGCTGGGGCCCAGGAAGAGGGGTCCCAGCTGCTTCCACCCCACCCATGGACATCATCTGTGCCTCTGACCCTGGGCTGCAGGTGAAATGGCAGCTGGTGCTTGTCTGTGCAGCTGCTATCATTCTCACGACATGATTAAATACATATATAAGCATAAAAATGTAATTGAAATAATTAGTAAGTCAAAATTCTGGTACTCCCTAAGATTTGATTCTGTACTGAAACTGAACAGAGCTGGATATAGCTTTCCCCCTGGCACGCTCAATTATCACTATTTTGACTCCACTGATTTTTCTGATTTTTTTGTTTTGTTTTATTTTGCATTAATATAGCTTCCAGCCCCCTTCTGGAGGACTCTGTATGGTCAGAACACTGGTGCTTGTCATTCTTTTATAGCTGATCAAGTGCATGAAACACCATTGTCAGAACAGAAAGTGTATTACTTGCCCCACTCCACTGAGCAAGGCCCTGCAATTTGTCACAAACTGAATGAAAGCAACGAGCCCAAAGCACCCAAGGAATTCTCACCGAATGTATTCAGCAGTCAATTAAAGAGGCTCACCTTTCTGCAGGACTGTCAGACTCAATGTAGGAAATGAGGGGAGGAGAGGACAAGGTCTCGGTAGCGAACACGCTGCCCTGGAGCTGTATCCCAAACCCCACTATGGGGTCAGCTGTCAGCACTACTTCTGTGGTTTCTGTGTGGACGACCTGCCCAGCCAAACCAACAGTGCTAGAGGCTAAAGACACTATAAAACAGAGCAGACCAGGAGGAAAGACATTCATACACAGCAGAAGTTCCATTATTTTTTAGAAAATTGTTCTTTACAATACATCTAGTCAATGAAATGTCTGTTTAAAAGCCAATTTAGGCTAGAGTTTATAAATTATGTACAAACAGTTATGGCATATAAGATAATAGAAAACATCTGGCTGTATGCTGGAATGCAAAGACATAGTTCTTGTTCTGAGTAAAATAAATGTGTTTGATATCCCCACTCCAAAAATCTCAGGACATCCTTGAATTCTGTTTGCATTAGGTTGGAGGCATGGATAAGCAAAACTCCAACAGGAACTAAGGGAATTGGAGGCACAAGCCCAGCTGTTATTCAGGCACATTCCTCTTTTGAACATCTCACAGCCATTTATTGTTGTTAGCAAAAAAGCACATGGATCAGGCTTGCTTGCAGGAAGTAAGGATACCTTCTTGTACATGTTTGCTATAAGTCAAACACGTCAGGCTAATTGGTTAATGTAAGGAAGTTGAACAAACCACTCTGTTTTGGCAACCAGTGTATCTCAAGGCATTGTGAGAAAAAAGTTCTGTTGGATCTCTCAAAGCCACTGGGGGACCCTTCTGTGAGAAACCTGGGCAGCTACTCCTGTTCCCCTGCTTTACTGACACTTCCGCAGTACAGATCAAGACAAAAACAACAGTGAGATTCAATACAATTACCTGTGAAAGGAGGAGACTGCACCTTTGCCTCCCTGACCTCTGTCTAAATGTCTATTGCATTATGGTTTGAATTCCCCCAGTGACAAACTATTGCCTTTCATGTCATATGCATGTCTGCTAAGAATTAGGTAAAATGTCATCGTTTATTTGAGGGATAGTTTACCTGTGCATTTTTTTTTTCTCTTACATGCAGGAAAAAAATTTTGACATTATAGGTAATATTAGCAAAACTGTAAAAAGATGTCAGAGTATACATATAAGTATTTTCCCACACTATGGGGTTGCAACTTTTGCTCTACATCAGTTAGTATAAATCTGATTGATGTGGCACAGTTGGCAATGACAGTTCTTTGCAAAATTTTCACTTGCCAAAAACCTCACAAGTTTCTGTTTTCTTCCAGCAAAGCTCCTTCCCACTCTAAAACTGCCTCTTCGAAATAACTGTGAATTCTTCCTCATATCTTGTTTTAAGTTTTCTTTCTAAGAACTGTGCATTATTTTAGATACTCAATAGCTTCCTTCTTACTCTTTCTTTTATCTGCACTCAATAAGATATGCTTACACACAAATGTAAATACTAAAAATCTGTTCTTAAAAACTTCCATCAGCTTTAGCATTTACTGCATGTGAGAAATAGGTTTCTCCAGCCCTCATTGCTGCAAAGGCTAAAATATGATGAAACCAAATAAATTAATATAATACCTAAGACACCTTCTAGAAACATCCTTATTTAGGGCAAAGGAAAGTTCAATTTTCTCTTTCTTAAAGGTCATATAACAATTACTTGTTAACTTCATCTCTATTTCCCATTGCTTATGTCTCTATTCCCTCCATGCAGCAGGTATCTAGTTGACTCTGTAACCTTCTTACTCTTTTTATAATGTCCTACCAGGAACTTAAATATCTCATAAAATTTATTTCAACTTCCAGGACAGTAAAAGTTTTAATTCACATTGGGAAATGAAGTCACTATCTGTGGGATTTAAAACTCACTCTGACAAACATTTTGATGATGCCAACACTTAAATACGACAATTAGGAACTTCCACTCAGAAAGAAAAGGAAAGAGAAACAGAAACAAAAAAACCCCTCAGAGATGAAATCATCCTTTCCTAATCATGTAACAAAAGCTATATCCTAAGACTCTAAACACCAAAGGTACCCAAACCCATGAGCACGTTGGGGTTTGTAACTCAGCAGTAACTGTAGCAAGAAACACTGGCATTTTTTGGCTCTTTGATGGATTAGAATTTTTACAGGCCAGGAAGCAGCGCTGTTGATTTCAAAAGGGGACATGGATGTGTTGGTATTTCCAGTGAACACCGGCTGCTATTGCTAGGGGTACGTCCCAGCATACTTGTATAGTCCTCCTCTAACTCTTAGCAACATTCCTGGGGGCCAGTTTGCTATATGCTTTGCAGATATGTAAATCATGATTGTGAATTTTAAGATTATGTACTTGTTACTTTTATGCCTGCAGTTATACAAGAAGCAGAACAAGATGTGCTTCAAGGTGCATCTATGGATTACTATACCTCCAGTCTTCCACTCTGACCCACAAGAAAGTGAAAAATGTTCACAAAACCCTCTCCAATTTCTATCAGATATGCAACCCTAGTAAAGTAAATTGATATAAATTATGTCTCTCTTCCAACCACTAATAGGGACCTGTTACAAAATACTTCAGGATTTAAACTCTAACAAAATAATAATCTAAGCGTTTCCACAAAGAATCCCACACCTTAAACAAAGAAACAAACAAAAAAACAAAACTAGAGGAAGAACAAAACCTGAAAACAAGTGGCATAAAAAAAGCTTGTAGCAGCAGGGCATGCCCTCACTTTTTACAGTCACATATTTAGGAAGATCTGCATAACTAATGCAATGATTGGTAAATCATGACCATAAAAGTCTTGTAACCCCTCGTGCCATCACACTTCATCTTCATGAATTATGCCATGATCACATTATGTTGTGCAACTATTCCTAAATAATTTGCAATGTAAACTTTATAACAACCTACATATTTTTATTCCCAAGTAACATTCTAAAATATTTATTAAAATTTACCTTAATAAAACTCTCAAATGATCCAATTAGCTTAAAGAAAAAAACCCTAAAATTAAGACTGTGCTACTCCTTTTCCATGAAAAGCACAGCAGTCAATCTACCTGGTTCTCACGAGTCTCCCACAAAGGGAGAGCTTTTCAAGCCTTGTCAATGGACAGTGGAAATGTACAGGACTGGACATTCTCTATCCTGGTCCACTGCAGGACATTCAGAGCAGTGTGGGTCTCTTAAGTTGGCTGTTACTGCTGTCACAAGAATGGGTATAAGTCTACTAACAGAGTAAGGAACTCTGCATGTGCTGATAAGCAAACTCACAAAAAGAGCAAACAAGTCTGGCTGGCCAGCCAGCTCCTCTGAAACACGTTGCAGTTCAGGGCTGTTGATGTAGTCACAGGTTGTAACGAGGCACTGACCACTCAGTGATGGGGCCAGTTTCAGGTATTCTGTAATGCTCTATATCAAGACCTCACAATGTGAATGGGTAATAAATGAGGCACAACTAAGCCTTCTCCTAACTTCTCCTATCTAGAGATTTGTTTACTCATAGCAGCTTGTCATCCCCAGGGCCTTCTGACTTGAAAAATCTTTTAGGTGGGCTGCAGTACTTATGTGACTGTTCCACTTAAATGCCACACCACTGGCCTTGTTTTGAGTCTTTGCAAGATAACATGGACAAGGCTTCCTTGAAGGAAAAATATCTGAAAAATTTAACAATGCAAGTTACAGTTGCATCCAAAATCCATAAGAGGATTGGCTTTGATGATTTCATCCTTTGTTGAACAGCTACAATATAGCACAATTGATGAATGATTTTTTGCATTGATTTTATAATTCAAATAAATTACTGCTAGTGTAACACTACTACTGTTTCTCACGTGCAGAGAAGAACATGTATGAGCTGGACCTCTACTGATACCACAGCATGACAGACACAGTATCCCCCCATGACCCAAAAGAATGCATTAGAAGCTAAAATGTCAACAGATGAGCTGTTAAAAATGGCTGATCAGATTAAAACCAAAAAATGCACTTACAGGCAAATGTTATGCAAAAATATGTGCTTTACAGAAGAAATAAGAACAAGCAAGCAACAAAAACTGCAAGAAAGCAAAACCTCAGTTCCTCTCTAATGTATTCTCACAGTTCTGTAGTGACTGGCCTTAGAAGCTGCTTGTTTGCTCTGGTTTTACTATGACCATGGGGATTCCTTAAAACACAGCAGCAAGTGCTGTAATGTGCAGCAGCTCAGTTCTTTCAGAGTGGACTTCTGAGCATTGTTATCTAGAGCGAATGATTTACAGAGCAGTTCTCACCTCCCTGCTCTGGAGGAACTGAGCTGCTGTGGATCGCACAAGGATGGACAAGCCAAAAGAGAGATGGCACTTGCATGGAGCCTGGGAAAAAATGCACTGACACAGCCACACTCTTTCCAGCCCAGTGAATACTTAGCAATATGCAAAATGGAACAGCCTGAATAGATCTGTTCTGGCTTGGGAAATGACTGACTCATAGGCAATCCATGCTTTGAGTTCCAGAGAGTGGTCAAATGAGACTATTTAGTCTTCACTGTAACTTGTTGCTCTTCCTCACCAAAATAACTGTACAGGTCATGGTGTAGCTGTAAACATTAGAACTACCTATGAGGTGCTGTGGCAAGCTCTGCCTTCCCTAATGTGACAGCTGGTTGAGCTTACCAGCAATCTGTTTTTGGCTATTCAGCTAAGAATTCTATTCCCTACGGACACTGGAAGAGTTAAGAAAGGAATTTTAAAATCACTTCAGTAATGGTTTAACAAACTCTTCCAGCACTGTCTGAAGAAAACATTCCTTTATAAATTTCAGATGAGATGGCTATGCTGCATAGCATCTCCTCATCTCATTTTAGCATGGAACAAATATTTTTACCATTATATTTCCCTACATCTACCAGAAACTCTCTCTCCTGTCCAGAATATATGTGTATTAATTAAAGTACTGTGCAACTTTTTTTCTGCATCTTCCCCCTCCTCCACCCATTAATTCACTGCACATTTTTGAGCAAATGCAGTTACCACCTACAGGAGCTTTTGAAGTCCTTCTTTTTCATCCTCCGCCTCATCATTGTCCCACGTGGGCTGGTGGAGTAGAGGCTGCGAGGTAAGGTCCCCATGTTCAGGGAACTCAGGCTGTATGCACTCATGGAGGTAGGAGAGAAGGATGAAGACACCAGAGCTGCTGTAAGAAATCAAACACTTGGCATACAGCACTCAGTCTTCACAGAAGAGCGCGGCACACGCCTGTAACTCATCAATGAATCAAACATTTTACGTATAGGCTGTGTACGATGCACAGGAATGCTTTGTGCATTTCCAATAACAAAGACATTAAACCACACAGGTGACCCTAGGAAAAAGTAAAGCCAGCATTTCATGACAACAGTTGCTGGAAGCTAACAATGATAATGTAGACACAAAAGATATATTCATAGTGTACAACTTATTTTAAGAAAACCATGTGAAATTAAATTTTTCAACACATATCCCCAAACTAATGCAAATCAATATATCTAGATACACTGATTTTAGAAATGCCTTTTTGTAGTAGGTAATTTCTGACAAAGATTTGTAAGCAATGCTTTGCATTCAAAAATCATGCTTTATATATACTTTTCCAATCCAATGGTCCACTCATACATAGAAGAAGAGCTGATTCATTCAGAATTTTCAAGCCTTTTCCTGTCTACAAAGGCTGCTTTGTTACAGAGCAGAAAAGGTGTAAAATGTCAGAAATAACCTTGGTATGGCTATGAAAAAGTGTAGCATCCGTAAAACTGAAAAGGTTTTAGAGCCTGAAATGGGAAAAGTATGAGTGAAAGAAGAAGGGAGGGAGCAGGAGGAAGAGGGAGGAGGAGGAAGAAGAAGAAAAGTGAGTATGTCAGCAGGAAAAGGTGTGGAACATTACGAAGGCTTTTTTGAGGAGGCGCTTTCTGGAATTTCAGGGCTGGCATCCTGCAATGGTCAGGGTGGTAGGTGTTATAATGGTGGTAGGTGAGGAGGCTGCTGTGGCTGTTGGCACACGAATCCCAGGTAAGTTGCCTGTTGCTTCTTTCAACCTTCACTGCCCGCATGAAGGGATGATGGAAAATCAGAAAACAAAAGGACCAGAGAAGAAGTAAAAGTAACTGAATTGCACAAAGAAAACCAAGAAGAACTACAAACCAAAAGCAAGAGAATGAAAACAAATTGAAAATAAAATGAAATAAAATAAAATAAAAACAAAATAAAATAAAATAAAGTAATAAATAACCTGGTCTTGTCTTCTTATCAGGGGGTTCTAGTTTGAGGAGCAGAAATAATATTTTTTCTCAGAAAAAATGTTTCTGATTGAGTTTTTTTGCTTTTTTCTATTTGTTTAAAACATTATGATTACTGAATCAATTTCTAATCTCCTTCTGGCTTAGGGGCTAAGATTGCAAACTTTCTCAGAAAATACTAAGATACTACACACGACCACTAACTGAAGGTTAATAACTCTCTGCTTGCATTAATCTATTTTTAAAAGACCAACTAGATACTTTACATGGCATTGCCTAGAATGGAGATGCTTCCCTGCCATTTCAATTTACTGTATTGACATTTTAATTTTTGCCACAATCTATTACTGGCATTCTGCTATTCTGTGCAGTAAATGACTTCCCAATGCCAGCAGCAGGAAAACTCTATCCTGAAATCTGGTTAATAAAGAAAAGAGGTCTTATTGATTAGCTGGATTTGCAATTTTGTATTTTTGTTTTGTGGTTTTTATGTTTTTTTTTTTTTTAATCTTGATCTTCAAAACTTTAAAATGATCCTTCACTGGATGAAATTTGAAAACTGTATTTCATTATTTAATTGCAGGTTCTATGTGCTCTAAGTGAAGACCGGTATTTACTAAGAGAATGGGAAGCATTTCAGTTGTAAAATCTTAAAGGAAAGGGATTGAAGTCTCCTTGATTAAATACAGTATATCCATCATTAAATTCAGCATGTCTGTATCCTTGCTGAACCATAAAGGCACAGTTCAAACTGGGAAGTATTCACTGAGTTTTTTGTCTTAAAACACCAAGGGATTCACCCATGCTACAGAATCATGGAATGGTTTGGGTTTGGAGGGACCTTAAAGACCATCTTGCTCAAACTCTGCTACCATGGGAAGGGACACCTTTCACTAGACCAGGTGGCTCAGGGCCCCTTCCAACCAGGCCTTCGACACTTCCAGGGATGAGGCAGCCACAGCTTCTCTGGGTAACCTGTCCCAGTGCCTCACCACCCTCGCAGTGAAGAATTTCTTCCTAATATCTAATCTAAACTGTTTCTAAATCTGTTTCTATAAAACAGAGTTTGCTGTCTTTGTCCCATGTGCTCTACTACCTGCTATACCTACAATGGCTGCAGACTTGTCTGTCCCCACGCTGGCCTTTTACAGGAGCCCAAAACCTTGAGCATTTAGGCTGGACCTACACCTTGTGTTCATATCTTACTCCACAAGACAAAATTAGGGGGGAAAAGGGCAGCCACCACAGCAAGCCCTGTGCCCTGGCAGAAGTAAAGCTGTCCTCTGGTTTCACTTCATATTACATGAGCCCTCATGTGCTAATTGCCTGACTCTACTACTCCTTCTGACTCAAGAGTGATGCCTGTCTCTACAGGGTGGATCTAAGGAGTGCATACCAGGGAAGGGACAGGGAAAGGGGAGCATAGGGGCTCACCATGACCCTGCAGACCCTAGAGCTGCCTGACCTGGCCCTGTGTCTTCAGCCAGATTGCCCTGGAGTTGCATCCCTCCATGAGAACACTGTGCCCTGGTAAGTACTTGAATCAGAAGAATTATTTTTTTGCCCCAATATCAGATATCAAAAGTAAGGGAGGGGTGCAATGTCAGCACCAGGCTGGGTCTGTGCTCCTGGGGTTCCTCACCCACTGGCACCACCACCCTCAGGGACTTTGGAAAATCTCATGTTAGCCAGAAAACTCCCAGAAACACCAGAAGCAGCCTGATATGACCTTATGTGTCTTAGAAACTTTGCATGCCTTCTCAGACGAAACCATCTCTTCAATTATGTGCACAGACAGTGAGATTTCTTAACTTTAACTACAGTGAAAAAATTAAAATCTGATAAGAACAATGTGGCCAGGTGGATTTTCATTATTTTCAAGCTGCTGTGAGCCTTGTTTAATTAAAAAAGACTGCTTCCAGCAGGAAATTATCTGGCAGTCCTTGAGATTTCTTAATGTTTTATTTTCATGCCGAGAGTAGAGATAAAAATGTCCTACAAAGTGGGAAAGTACACAAATTCAGTTTGCTCAGCTTGTAGAAGGATAGTCCCAATTCAAAAAAAGTTCTGTAAAAGAAAACCCTTTTGTGTGTAACCAGAGTAATTTAGTGGTAATTTCAGCTTTTCCAGTACAGGGTTGTGTATAGTAAACATAAAACTAATGGGGCAGCAAGAGAAATTAATGTCAGCACCACAGTATAAAGGAAAAAAAAAAACATGAAAAAGAATCCTATCTTTTATAGAGCTCTTCACTTTATTTTAGGGCTAAAATTTCAGTTTATTTTATATACTGACTTTTCTGCCTGTTTTAAATTCCTAACATATTCCCACAAGACCAATAACTGAGCTCAGCAGATACAGCCCTAATGACTCAGCTTATTCCAGATATAGCAAGGGAGATTTTCACTCTCTGCAGCCTCTAGGTCATACCACACCTGATAAAAGGTTGTTTCTAAGAGGGAACTTGCTTCCATAAAGCTTGTTATATTTGAATTGGTCATGATGTTGTGGTAGCACCACTTGGTGAGGGGCTGAAAAAATCTGTAAGCATCCTAGTTATTGTGCTTTACTGAAGAAAGCAACTTTATTACTTTAGGGATACTTTCCCCCAAAAGATGCTCTTATATATCACCTTTTGCTGATCACCTTGATATGATTTTGTAACGGACAGTTCTTAACTCAGGCATAGCTAGAGCATTGCTTTTTCTAAGCATCTACACTGGTTAGAATATTAACAGCATCAATCTGTTATAAATGTTGGTTTACCAACCAACTGCTTCAAGCAACACAATCATCTACACAAATCACTGGCCCCAGCATTTGTCTTCCCCCCAAAAAAAACAGTCTTCAAAATTTTTTAACCATCAGAAATTAACTGCATGACATCTTTGCTTCAAAGAAAAAGAAAGATTTGTTTGCAATGTACTGCCATAACCGAAAGGAATGGAAGTACATTGCAAATTTGGGCTTCAACTCATTCTGCTTGTGCAGTATCACTCTGCTCCTTGTGGCTTTAAGCAGCTTAAGTAGAAAAGGGAAAGAGCTGAGTACAGGGAGAACATGTAATTGCAAAGGTTACTTTTTATTCATCCTGGTCTAGGAGAAACTAATGTCTCCTCTATCACTAGTTCAGTATTCCCTACTCTGAAAAACTGTCTAGAACACCACTTATCAAGAGACAACCTGGATGTTGCATGGATGTCCCAGAACATTTACCATCACTGACATTTTGAGACCTCAGACCTTTAGGCCTTGGTCTAAAGCAGGCAGAAGCACAGTACTACAGGCTCAGAAAAATTATACCACTGGTTCATGCTGCAACACATGTTGCAAATACACATTCTCTGTGTATTTGACAACCCTTGCTACTGTTTTGATGTCTATCAAGATGTGCTATTTTAGACTGAATTCAAGGATTACTGTGAATTAGCCACTTTCTCATGATTAGCTAGAAGATAAGACAGGCAACCTCCATCTTCAAATACTAAGACATTTTACAAACATTTTATTTGAGAACGCAAAGCTACTCTATTCAAGCATGTTGATATGAAGTAAGTATCACAGTGAAAAGGTCTGCAATCTAGGGAGCTGTTTCCAAATTGACAGTGAACCTGTGAAGCAATCTCAGAAGCACTTTAAAAGATGATGGCAATAAATAATAATGCCATTAACATGAGAAAATACGGGAGGGGTTTACATATTTTAGGGGAGAACAGGTGTAATTAATTGACCATAACTGTCAAATCAATATGCTGAAAATAAGTTGGCTGTGGTACTACTTCCCCACTCTAAATTTAAGAATCAATGTAGAGATTAATTTACTGAAGTATCTCATAGCACCCTCAACAATTGCAACAATTGCAATTGTAGAGTCAACAGGTGTCTTTATGAACACTTGCAAGTTTGTAGAGGTATTTCTTAGCAAAATGTTTCCCTCTCTGTCCACAGCAATCTCAGAGGGCTCATTAAGACCAAGAACACACAGAGCTGCTCAGAAACTGCAGAAGCATAACGTGGGGAGCTGAAACATTTACAGACATAACTGCGGCGATGGCTTTGACCATTCAGCTTGGGTAGGTAAAGCACAAGAAAGAAAGAGAAAAAGGTATTTGGTGCTACAGATCCTCTTACCGTGCTCTGGGCCTTTCAGTGCTAGCCGAGTCTGGTGGTGGGGAAGGATCTCCAGTTTGACATTATCAGCTGCATTAGCCAAAAACTGCGTTGCTTCCGCCAGTGTACAGTACTCCATGCTGGTGCCATCAATGGACAGAATATGGTCTCCTACATGTAATGCACCACATCTATATAAAAGGGGAAAAACTTGGTATGATCAGGTAGGCTATTTGCTTGCACAGTGAGTTTTTCTGCCTTCAAACTGGTCATGACAACTATGAACATGTTCTTTTTTTTCGAGAGACATTTGTGTTTTGTAGGCACTGTCACTGGTCAGACTTTAACTCTATTAATACAAACCTTAAAAACAATTCCGTTAATACAGTATATGCCAAGACATCACTCACAGAACTGCAAACTGCAATGGGGTAGCTGACTCTAAAATATATGTGAATGGCAGCAGGATAAAATGAGAAGAGCTTAAGGAGACTCGAATAACTTGGTCACATATCCCTCACACAAGCACCCAGTTCATCATTTTTTGAGTTATAATTCAAACATTTATTAGTACAAAAGCTGTAAATGATGATGAAATTATGCAGTAGTCAAACAAATAATGAAACCAGGGCTAGCATGGTGACTCTAGGAGTGGGGTGGGGAGGGGGCTATCTGCTAAATTTTGCTGCACTCAAGAGACTGGCTACTGGATGAGTTGAGAAATGCAAACACAGCAGTCAGCATCCCGACGTACCAGTCAAGTGGACAGCTCCTTTAATTGGTTACCCCCTGTGAAATGGGAAAAAACAGAGGGAGAAAATTAAAGCATCCTGCACCATTGAACTGGAGAACACCCCTGGATCAATGGCCGTCACTCTCAAAGTTTCTACTGTAGGGAAAAGCCCACAGAGGAGCTGTAGACTCACTGCTACAAGTGGGTGCTACCAAAAGCACCGTTGCTAAAGAGGAGTTACAAGGTAGGGTGACTGGGGACATGCAGGAGGAATTTGCTGCTGAAACATAATATTTAAAAAAAATCAAGTAGAGATATGAATATAGAAATATATTGTATATGTATAAACACACACATACACACACACACGCCCACACACCCCAGAAAAGATCCCACAAATCTGTTGCAAAGGATCAGACCACTGGGGAAAAATATCTAGCTATAATTTTAATGGTTTAAATGGTTTTATTTGAAGGTTTAAATGAAGTGGAAATATTACAGCAAAACAATTTAGAAATACAGAAGCCAGTCTTTCTTATACCTCATTTGTATTCTAAAATATCAGTAAAAGAATCCAGACATAAGGAGTTCCATTTCACTGTGCCACAAGAATGAGTGATATACCCTAAAAGAACACTCCAAGGTTGCAAAGCCTCAAAATTTACTTCCCTTGACAGCTGTTCCATATGGTGGGCTTACTTCAAGAATCCCAGTGGGTTACGTTTCTTTTTTTTAAACACTGATCTCTGCCACAGTGTTACATTTAATAGCCAGACTCCTGTGTTGCATAGCGCAAGCAGCCAGTCACGTATTACATGGGGGCTGGCTATGTCACCGACTACTACACGGATGAGCTAAAGGAGATGGAAGTCTTAGACCTGGCAGTCTGGAACAGCCGTCTGACAAAGTGCTAATTTTAAGACATGCAACCTTGAGAGGACCTGGTTCAGTCGATTTTCTCAAAAAAGGGAAGGGTTCCTTTAAAACGAGACCAAATAGAAAAAAGAAGAAAAATGGATGCATGGACCTGCAGTGTCAGTTCTCTGTCACACTCACCTGTCTGCAATACTTGCAGATTTGATTTTGTCTATGACAATGACCTGTTTGTTGCAGCACATCGAGGTAGTTAGTGCAACCCCAAGAGCAGCACCAGGAGTTTTGGCAACTTCAACTAGCAGTGGCCCAGAAGCTGTTGCTACTGAATCTGTTAAAATTAGACAACAAAAGATCAGTATTATACCAATGTGGTATTTATGCCATTTTCATGTTTTCCCCACATAAAATCTCCATGGCTATTCTATTTCTCTAACCAGATAACATACCACTTCAAGAAATACTGGAATAGTCATTTAAGGAGTCAATAATCAGCTCTTGATGTTGAAAACGATAAAAGCAAGAGGAAGTTTGTGAATTTGGGATGTCCAAAAGTTTCAGAGTGTGTCAGAATCAGAGATGGATCAGATGAGAGAAACAGGATGTGTTAGTGAATCATTCTCTTGAATAACTGGAGATAAATATTACCCAAAATTTAAACAGACATGCTGAAAAAACAGAATTAATTTAAAAAGTCAAAAATTATCTGAAAAAAATTAATAAGTGAATAGGTTAGAGAAGGAAGCTAAATGAATTTTCACAAAACATAATGAAGGTCTGTAGACGGCAGCTGTAATAATCAAATGAAGAAGATAAAGAAAGGGTCTACAAGAAATCCTTCACAAAAGAAAGGACAAAATGGTGAAAGTGCAGGAGGTGTGACACCTAGAAGTATTAGAAATTAAAGCAAAATATATGTGAGGAGGTTCAGAAGATTCTTTTAACATCGTACCACTGGACAAAATACTGCCTTACAACAGGACATAGTAAATGATCAACACTGAATACAGAAAACAGGAAAATAAGTTGGACAAACAGTCATGATTGATGACTTGGTGAGATACTACCCCGGAGAAAAAGTGCTAGACATAGCAGAGCAAAAACACAGCAGGCTTCTTCCTAAATGCCAAAACAAAGCAGGCAGGGATCAGGGTGAAGTACATTCTGGAGACTGGCTGAGAACTCCTACTAACCAATACCCATTGATCAATAACTCAGTGCAGTAAGATACAGTAAGAGAAGATGTCCTTTAAGGATATTAAAAGACTGAGACAAACAAAGTGCTATCAGAAGCCTTTGGAGGTGCTTTCAATCAGAATACGAAAACCGGAATAAATGAAGACTTATGCTGGATCAAAGTTACCAAACGTCCTGTCCGCAAGCAGGAGAGACTGGCATTCACAACATACTGGAACCAGCTGTGGGGATACAAAGACAGCATTCAATTGTGATGTGTCTCAGAAGACACTAAGACAGAAGTTGTGTAAGAACTGCAGCTGGGCTTCCAAGTATGGGGGAGAAGACAGATATAAGATATTCCACTCAGTCTTAAATCTAAAAAATTAAAAAATTACAAAACATGTAATACTGGCAGAGAAGAGATAGTAAAACGGTATTAGCATACAAAACAATCTATATAATAATATAAGAAATTGAATGAGAGAGTAATGAACACTCAGTGAAGGTGCTCTTCCTCATTAGAGTGTAATGTAGATAAACTAGAAATGGAGTGAAAAAAAGGTTGGATGGAATAACATACAATACCAGGAAAGTGTCAGTTAATTATTATAGAACTCCTTTCCCCCCACAACTTGAAATAATTTTTAGATTCCTGCTGGTTTTCTTTTTTTTTTTTTTTTTTTTAAGTTCAAATTTGAGAGTTTGAAGGCAAGGTTCAGCAATTTTGAAAGTGGTCATTAAATCTGAGTGAACAATTTCTGCACACAACTAGGGTTGAATTTTTAAAGGCTCAACCTTCACAGGCACTACAAAATAAGCTGCTCCACAAACCTGAACTGATCTTTAAATTCTGAGCTAAAAGAATAGAGTCCACCCAGCAGCATTTCTGTCTGGAGCTTCAAGCACTAAGTAGCTTTAAAGCTGGATGAACTGCCCTCAGCAGTCTTTATCTTAGTAACTAAAGTTACTAATTTACCTGTCTTCCTCTTACTAACTAAAGAAGGAGTTTATCATAATGAAATTCTTGTCTTAGATGACTTGGTTAAAGGTCTAATTAAGGCAGGATGCATGCAGTGCCTTGCGAACAGCCAAATAAGCACGTGCAGCAGAGCAGAATTTATGTATTCCCTATTCCCGTTCCTGCACTGAAAAACAGTTATTTTCATCTTGAACATTCCAGTGGGTCCTGGAGCTACACACAAGTTTCACATTTACAAATATATGGGAAGAAGACTGAAACAATATTTGTCATCAATACCTTGACAGAAATTTTAACTCATATTGATCCAGAAAATGGCAAAGCCCAACTTGCACAAGTTCTTTCTGCAACGGCTGCCTTGAGGAGAGGAAACCAAATGCAAATATCTGTTGAGAATGTGTAAGTCTTTCAAGATGCTGGTCCTTTTTCCAGTTACTTGGGAAACTGCATAAGCACAAGCAGCTTATGCCTGAGTGTTATTTCCCAGGTGCCTGTTGAAATGCACTGGGAACACAAACCAAGGCAGACAGGATGAATAAATAAGATAACTACATTAGAGGAACCAGAAGAGAAGAAATGGGGTGTGTCTGATGGTGGAAAATAAGCACAAGGAAGAGAAAGAAGGTAATAATCAAGCACACATTCTCTGACAGAGAAGAATTAGTTTTTCATGCTGAAGTAAAGCGTGGATATGAAAAATGAATCATACAGGTATAAATTATTCATGTGTGAAGATGTTTCAGTCATTAAGATATTTACACCATGACTGAAGCACTTACACACTATGTTGATTTATTGACTATGTAATTATGTAAGATACACTGATGAATATTGTGTGAAAGGCACTCTAGATTTTTGATTTTGTTAATAATTTTTCTCATTTTAGGGTATTGCATCTCAATCACTACAAGAGGCCTGATTAAAACCTCCCAGAGGAAGGAGCCTTGCTTTCTGCATGCTAATACATTTCTTCAGCTAGATAGCAGCACACCTTTTTTATTTGACAGCTTAAATCACTGGAAACAAGGGGTTTTATTCTGGATATAATTTCAAGATATGTAAATATACTATATTTAGTACAGTATAAATAGTATGTAGTATCGTATTTAGAAATTTTTTAATAAAATGAGCAGTGTTACCAACCTCCTTTGCCTCAAAAGATAATCACAAATCATTTTGAAACCTGAAAAATGTATTTTTAACCTGATAAAGACATCACATTATAAGTGTTTCGTTATGTCCTCAGAAATGTATATATCTGTTAATCCTTACTGATCCTCATGGTATCTGAAATCCAGGTCAATAACTGATGGGTGGTGGAGGACAAAACACCAGGATTCCCACAGTGGGGAAACATAAAGGGAGCTGCTTGCATTAGGCAGCAGAGGATCTACATGTGAAACAGTACCTTTAAATGCCCTAGATGGGGAAACGCTCCAGTCATAGCTTGTGATCAATAATGACACTAAATCCACAGGAAACCAAACCTTTTTAGTCTATGATGCTTTTTTTTTTTTTTTTCGTTTCCAAAGCTTTTCTTTACTTAAAACTGGGAAGTACAGCTACTGAGCTTGTTGAGTGTAGGAACACTGTGCCCTGCAGCTTCTCACTTCTCTAACTGCAAAGTTTGGGCTGCTCTTTTATTTTTTCAAAGTCACAGCAAAACAAGGTACAAATCATTTTTTTGAGCAGCTTAAAAGAGCTTGACACAGAGGAAGGATGTCAAAATAGATTTTGTCTCTACAGAGCCAGCTGGACCAATTGAAACACACAGCTTCAGAAGACTGCTATTGACCTCTCCTGGATGCTGCTGTACTTTATAAGCAATGATGTGACAAACAAGTGGATATCTTATTATCTCACACTAATTTTCCAAGCTTCTTCCCTATTAGGTGTTCACAGACTAACCAGGTTTTCACCTTAAAAGTGTACACAGCAGGTCCCTGTAGCCTTCTCTGTTGTGATCCTCTGACTGACAGTAGTCAAAAAATCTGGCAAGGTGCTGGTTCAGATCAGAAAAAATGCATAGGTCCTCAAACCTTGTAGTTCTTGCAATGCAGTTTTAACACTTTTGTAGCAGTGCCTTCACAGATCTAAATGCGTTTTACTTATGTTAAAAACAAAGACAGTATTTTACAGAAATAGATTTTCTTCATCAAAGAAGTGTGCTCTTCTACTCCTCACACCTTTTTTTGTTCCCCTCACACATAATCTTTGCAGCCTAAAGGTAGCAAGTAAGGTTGGACAGCTGGACTTCCTGATTTTAGATGTCTTTTCCAACCATAAAGATTCTGTGATTCTAAGTAAAGCAATCTCTCTCTCAGGTAGGAATTCCCTTTTCTCCATTCAGTTCTTGTCAGTACACCTGAAACTTTATGTTCTTTCTCCTTTTCTGTAACCCTAATTTTTATAGCTGCTGGCTGCATGCCTCATGTTCAGAGTAGTGGATTACAGAAGCATATCTTAATAAGTTAAGGAAGATTGTTAAGAACTGGGAAAAACCCTGAAATCTTTGACACTCTTGCCTTTAAGAGCAAAAAGCTGGAACACTTACAGAAAGTCATGATTGAAGAAATCAGTTTCAATCCCCCACCACTCCCAAATGCCTTAGACTACATCCATATTTTCCTCTGCTCTCTCTGTTCTTTTTTCAGTTCACAAAAATCAATGATCCTTTTCCAGTACCTGCTCAGCAATCATATATGTGACAGCTCTGATGTAGAAGGGACAACACTGACTGCTCCCCAAATAACCTGTTGAGTAAACTCTCATAGATGGACACTCACAAACCTTTAAATGCAGAAATGCACAAGCCTTTCCTTGAACTTGCTTTCTTTAACAAAACCCAAAAGAATGCAGGAGAAGTATGTAAGTGTGTGTGTGCATTTGTGTACACGAGCCAGTGTGAGTTCCAGAAAGGGTCCGATAACTAAACACTCCATTGCAGTCAGTTCTTACTACAGAAGAGTTGAGACATCCCAACAAGCAACTGTCAGCACTCAGCACACAAGCAGAAGGTACTTAAAATCAGCAGAGATGAAACTGATGTGTAAAGCACAGAATAAGCAACAAATCTGTGCCTTTATTTGGTATCTCAGTCTCAGCTGAGAATAACATACAAGGTTGGTTGCCCAGAGAAGTTGCAGAATGTTTTGAAGAAATCCAAGTGCTTG